CTCTTCTTCTTTCGTTTCGTCCTAACAGTCTCTGGCTGGCGAATGGCATGGCAGTAAAGGGATCGGTTCTGTCAAATGATCAGAGCCAGAGACAGGTAAGGCTGAGCGAGCCCGCGAGCTCCCATAGTGCAGCACGCCTAGCATTTTCCGTGTGGTACTGTATGCAGAGACCTCTTGGTTACAAGCTAGTGAGTTGGCTAGCACCTGTCTCATGCTTCGATGTTGCAACTTGCACATCCGGATTGTATTATGTAAAAGACAAACAGGGGTAGCTCCTGGCGTCACAGAAGAACCCAGTCAGTCACTGTGTGGTGTTGATGCTTGACTGGTCAGGCTGTTCCTCTACCGTGTTGCCGATCGCAAAATGTCAATTGGCCCATTGATGAGCACGGTCCTAGATGTCAACTCGGGATCGGCAACCTAGACTGCCATGATTATCTCGCTGAGACTTGGATGCATGTCTGCTTGTATGAATGCAGTCTTCGTTTCGGAGCCAAATTATCACATTATATGTGCTCTGCAGCCCATGCTGTTCACTATTGGCAGTTGACAGCTAAAACAGCATAATGGAACGCGACAGGGCTGTAACAGCTGCCCCTGTACGCCCCTGTGTTCAGCAAGTTGCACTAGCAACGCCACAAGTCTAGAAGCCGAACCAACCGAGACGAGAGCGAAGGAACAACCTCGACACGTGGTGTAGTCATTGCGTTCCGTAAAATAAGGGGGCCCTGCCAATGGAGCCACAGTGGAAACGTTTGCTGACTGACAGGCAGGGTCAGAGTCACGGCCCTGCTCATCAAAGAGACAGGATTCAAGAGAACGTCAACTGGTCTCTTGTGGCGCGGTTTCTGAACCGCCAATCGCTTTGTGCCGCGCGACTCGTCCACATGCCGTCTTCCCTGTGGTTCGTTAGTAGTGCAACCACCGTCACATATTTGGGAGCTAGATCAAGCCCGTGATATATCACTCACCACACATGGCAGCTGCAACGACACCGAGACAGACACACGGACACTGTACCAAATTCAGTGTGGTTTGGACATGATTGCTGAATCTGTATGTATGTATGCCCAAAGGTGAGCTAATATTGTCCATCCTCAATGGCACATCCGCTTACCCCAGGCCCGTGCCCACATATTGTCCAAATGTTGTCAACCAAGAAGCTTCAATATGGAAACAAGGGTTGACCAGTGACTAGAGGATTGCTGTTCTGGATGGGTCCATGCCCAAAACTAACCTTTGTCATATTCCCAGGATGCCTTGCCCAAACGCGGTTGCTGTTGTATCGAACACTGGAATTCATCCGCTTCAGAAATCAGTAAGCTGCGCCATGGATAATGACTTGATGTCGTCAGGCGATAGGAAACAATGATGTCGGTTGGTGATCTGCGGCATATAAAGTGCTTGAAAGAGAAATATCGAAGCATTTCGCGTCTATATCAGATGGAAATGTTGCTAGGTCACAATAAAACTTTTGCTTGGAAGGCTGAGAGAGCTTCCTCGTGGTTTACAGTGTCCACTGGAGTCACGTTAGTTAGCTGGCAGGCAGCTGCCAAGCAGCTGGCGGGCCCTAAGGCATCCAGGCATTAAGGCACCAATTACTTTGGGGAAGTTGACGATGGCCACGGTGATTTGACATCCGGTACAACCTCGTCTTGGCGAGTGTCGATGTCTGCTTCTATCTGCCCATGCTCTTTCTTAGCGGGTGAAAGAACTTGACTCAGTTAATACCTGAAGTGGGAGAAGTTTACATCTCACGACACCTTGACTCAGCTGCCGCAGACTTTACTAAGTCACCTCCTCTTCCGGTTTCTAATAAAGTGGGTGTAGGCCGTATTCCATGACACCTTCTAGGATAGCATTTCATGCGGTGCCTCTTTGCTCATCACAGTTTTTGCCGGCTAGTGTGTGGACGCTCCCGGCAGTCCTGTCTACAAAATAGCCCTCTAGGCTCCAGACGGGGCTCCCATTTCAGGTGAGTCTTGATCAAGGTACTAGACACATCCATTTCTGCGATTCAGGTTGATGTGTGACGACTATGGACGATTCTCAAACTAATACAAATCGACAACAGGCCAGGAATTTTGGGTGGCACGCAGACTAGGCATCATTCTCGTTCGAGCCATCAACCAACTCGGAAGCCAGTTCCGGCCCCAATGTGAACGGCGTTGGATTATTGTTTGTGAAACGAAGAACTTATGCCATAACATCATCTACCCCTCGCCTTGCCTTGGACGTTTTTCAGCTGGGATTTACATTTCTTCGTCGTCTTCGAGTATCTCGGCACACAGCTCCCGATATGTTCCACGCCACAATAGAAGCCATAAGGATTCCTGTTTCAAATATCGCTTGGCAATGACTATGAGGTCTTGGTGGATATACATAGTTGTTTCCTTCGGCACCAGCGACGATCCATCATCGCGGGGGAACCAGTTCATGCGCATCAAGTGCCCTATGCAATTAATCCACTTGGTGGCCTAAACTTGAAGCATGTTTGGTCGGGGGTCGATGATGGGCCTAATTAATGCACCTCGGCCCTTAGTAAAAACCACTGGAGTTTTACAAACAGCTACCCCAGTGGCTCTTTATCACAACCGCAGACAAGACTGCTACTAGTAGCGTCACATTAGTGGTGCTTTGACGCAGCACGGTACTCATAGTCCACTCACCACATGCAGCAACTGCGAGAACGCAGCAAGGGTGGATGCACACATACTAGAAAAGATTTTTTGCAGGAGGTTTTTGAGCCTTGGTTATTCAGAGGATATGGATCCTATCGCTGGTCAATGCCTGCGGTTCATCCCATTGTTCATTTTCTGCTGCGCCAGCGGCCCGGTCAAGCGCATTGACCGAGATGCATCGACAAGGCTTTCCCAGTCCACTGCCGAGCTATCTGGAACTCAGCCAGTTTCTCGACCAATACTTTACTTTGGCGGCTTCCAAGTTGATTGGCGAGGTGGTGATATCCCCCCATATTGACCCCCCATTTACTCTGAGAAGCTAGCTCCGAAAAAACAATGACTTATGGAACACATGGACATGGGGTCATGATCTGTTGTAGAATTGATGTAGAGCTCGAGTCAAACGCCGCTCAGTCCGATCGTTTGCTTCAGCATCTGCATGATGCATGCGCAATTGACGAAGTTGATTATCAACCATTTGCGAATGCTGCGCACTGATGCTGACGGGTGCCATACCATCAACTCAGTGCTCCTAGCCTCTGGCTATCTCGCTCTCGTCCCGCAGATAAGGCTTGCTCTGTCTTCACCATGTCGTACTGGCCGCGGCATGACGAGTCGACTCGGACTCTTCTGCCCCCGCGGTTGGCACTGTCGTCGGGTGGTTATCGCTTCTATCTTTAATATTGTGCCTTTGGACCGAGCCTACTCCGTACTGACACAAAATTCAGTTATTTTGAGTCGCCGACGGCCGCCACGAGGCTTCAGTGCTGCTAGCGAAGGATGGGGTCACTGAGTCGAGACACATGTTCTGGAACAGCCCCGAGTCAAAAGCAAAGAGAGGCCAAGAAATTTCGTCATACACGCAACGTTAAACTGAAATTACCATATGGTGGCTATTGCCTTTGCCTTATCCGCAATCCGCTGTGTCTCCTCACCGGTTCCTCTCAGCTTACGGCCGGCGAAGCTGCCTGTCAAAACGGTCAAAACGAGGCATCGCGTACAGATCTGGCTCCGCGAGAATTGAGAATTGGTTGGCCGGGGTATCCTGACCCCTGTCGCAACTCTGGCCGTAGTGGAGATGGGACGTGGGGACTCGGATGCTTCAGTACTTCCACCACTGCCACCACCACCACCACCATGATAATCTATAACCGCACTGGGGCCCCCTCAGAGCCATCTCCAAGGGATACACGGGCGTCAGGGGTCTGAGTCTGTTTGACTCCCCATGGAGCTCAGAGAAGGCGTTCCAGCCTCCTTCACCCTGGTTTCTGGCCGGTTGCTCGAGCTGTTCGAGTCTAGTCCCTTTCGGATTGTCTGTCCGTCAGAGTGGGCGATGGCGACCTCGTGTTGCGTCTTGCAGCTGGTTTCAATACCATGTATTCCGTAACAACTCGACGGACTCCATCCCCTCTCGGGCAAGCTGCAACAACTGGGGTCTTGTGCTATACATACATACATACATACAAACCGGCATATAGATGTGTTCTGCATCAGAAGATGAACAACTTGCCCCACCTCGCATCAGTGCTATACAGACGACCTACTGCGACCTTACCCTTACCAAAGCAACCTTCGTCTCAGATTCCCGGCCTGTGCATGCCTCTAAGTGACTTTGACAATCGAGGGTCTCTTGGACTTTTGCCAGGGGCACGGTTCCCTACATTCTATCCGGGTGGTGGGCACCATGACACCATGGATCCTGTTGCCTTTGACCAAGCCAAGGCTAAGGTGATGGGACTGAGGGTGGCCCATTTTAGTCGCACAAAGTCCAATGTGGGCTTGAACAAGGCCGTTCCGTAGATATATATCGTCCGCGCCGACTCCTCCAACGCCGTCCCAGCTGGCTGGCTGAACAATGAGTGGTTCTCTGAGCCGTATCTATTGAAATACTCGGGTTGAGACTATTCATAGACTCTGTGATACCTGCCCTTCTGTAGAGCTCCAAGTACAAGTGGAACCATTGCAGGGTTTGAACTTTGGTGCCAGTTCTACAGTCTACTCACCTCAATGGCTCATATCGCGACATGTATCGCCAATATAGAGCCAGGCTCTGTCCCAAAGTCGCCGTCTCCAACGCTTCCCATACTTTCTGTGAGTAACTTTTGCTACATCTTCCCCTGCTCGGCGCGTAGGTGTAGGTTTCCAGCTTACACGAACACCACCTAGACAACACCTCCTACCTCATCAATAGATAAGTCATTCGCTTGGAGGATGCTGCCGACAGAGCAACGCAAATATCAACTATTCCCAAAAGACAAGCCGATTGCGAACTTGAATATCAGCAAATCCTTGGATCCCGAGGCGGCGTTTGCAGTGGCAATGAGCGACAGAAATGACAAAGGGTCTGCGGGTTCGGCCTTGCGCCTCCGGGTCAACCAGTATAATCCCCTCAGACGACGTAAAGTCAGCGTGCCCGAGCTAGAACCCATGACAACCGTCCAAGAAATCGCAATGGACTCTCGTTAGTATTGACTCTTCCGGATACAGCCGATTTGACCCTCCCACTGACTGTCGATATAGCTACCATACCTGGACGGCCACCTTTACATGAGCGTTCTTCGAGTGCCCCAGAAGACGCAAGAGATGAGAGACAGCGAGTGCCAATGCGCAGCCAAGATACATCCCTACCTGTTGACATTACCAAAGTTGTTAATGGAACCCTTCCTCAGCCTGCATTACAAACTCCCTTGTCTCAGTCGCTCCCGCATCGGCTGGCGCCTCTACTTATTCCCAAAGCCGAGCTTCCGGCTCCCCTCTTGCAGTCCAAAGTCTCCAGCAATAATCTTAGGTCAGATAGCACACCTCCGTCGTCTTCTCGAAGTGCTCGTTTGGATTACTCTCCCCTTGGCCGACCGCGAATTACGCCGAGCATTTCTACGCCGGACTTGTCGCAGCCGAAATCGGCCTCGAGTGATTGCTCATCGGCTACTACGCTTCCTACTCCGATTTCCGCTCCAATTATGGAGTCTCACCGTGCCTCTCCGAAGCCTTGGGACGGATCTAGCATTTTCTCAAGCCAAAGTGACCGGAGCGTGTCTGGTCAGGATGGACCGAAAAAATCTCACATCCACCAACATCGTCGCGGAGCTTCAGAATCCTCGACGACAGGTATGATGGACCGCGGTAGACCCAGAAAGCGGACTGAAGTTCGTAATACCAATGGGTCATCGCTCAAATCCAATGATTCGAAGAAAACATTGAGTTGCGAAAGAAGAGCGTTCGAGGAGCTGCCTAAAGGCTGGAAGCCTTCAGATGCGGCCCACAAGCTCAGCTTCAATGATGTTGTAGCTCTCCAGAAGCAGGCCTTGGACCAGGCTGAAAGATTTGAAGTTCTCCGGGTTGAAGACGTTGATGCCCTCTCAAAGGAACTTCGCAGCCTCGATGAAAGGACCGATTATCTACGCCGAACATACACGTCACTACGTGCCGGACGTCGCAATCTTCATTCACGTATCTGCCAGTACCTGCGCTCTCCTCGGGTTGCCAAGTTCAGCCACGAATCTATGCTCAAACAAGAGGAGGCACTGGCCGAATTGGATGCCTCAATTGACGACTGGGTCGCGAAGTTGGAACGGGCAGAGAATCGCCGCACACGAGTTCGCCAAAAGCTATTGGAGCATGTTGCAGCTGCCGCCCTGCTTCCCGTTGCAAAATCAACCCCGGGCTTGTCAGAATCAGTCCAGAGCGTGAAATCTCCTGGTGGTCCACGCGAGCTCTCTACACCACCCCGCAGCCCATCAAAGACAAGTTTTGCCAGCCGAACAGACAGTGCTTCGCCCTCCCCGCAAAGGGTTGTTGCTCAAGTCCCGAGCACAATAATTGAGCAACCTGTCGTTGAAGATGCAGCCAAGAATGTCTGCGACATCAGCCGCGCCGGAAGCACAGTTACATTGAAGCGGTCTGATGTTCAGAGTATTCGCATATACGCTGGAGATGACGTCTACGCACTTCTCGCCGACGTGGAGAACCAAATCTCCAAGATGGGCGTGGCAACGCCCGAGTCTACCGCTTCCCTGGATATTCAGAGCCAGAGGCAACGAAGCCGCGAGCAGCTGATCGGCCGTGTTGACTATCCTAGTCCTCCCCATCCCGCCGGAGTTGCATCTGCTACGGCCGCAATTCTCGCTCCAAACGCCGCCGATATTAATAACAGGGATGGCAAGAATGCCACTCCCAGTCCGATCTCATCCCAAGCCAAAGATGGTGCTACGGAAGGGGAGATCCTCCTTACCGCTGCTGTTTTCAAGCCTGAATCCGCCGCGAAGCATTAATATCATGTTTACTTTTCACCACATCTAACAAGCGAAATACGATGCCTGCCCGAAGGCAGACATTCCTCAATTTACTCAACATGGCCTACCTACCATTCCGCCACACTTCTGTTTCGTGTTACGAACACTAGTCACTCACGCTTCATATGTCTCACCTTTTTCACACGACATCTTATCTCTTTTACATATTATCCCTAATATTTCCTTTGCTACATGATACCTGTTTTCTGGAGTACGGCGCTATTGGAACACACATAATCCACACAAGATTGCTAATATTTGAGCAAATTCTATTTGGCGAGGCACAATCATGACGATTCACACGGCTTCTTGGGCATTTACAGCGAGCATGTATAGCGTCTCTCTATTTTCTATGAAATACCATTTTATTACCACACTTTGGAGTAGTACACACCTCGTCGCGTGACTGTACCTGTCCTTGTGACTTGTGAATTGCGTGTCCACTGCCAGAAAAAAAGAAACTTGTTGTAACGTACCGTCAATATCAATTTCTCTCCGGCCTGTAGCAATAGTCCACTTCTGCAATAGTAATCAGACGTTGGAGATTGGGTTGTCACATTATCCACTCGTCTATCCACATCTATCCGCACCTTGTCTATAATTGAGCGACCTTTCAACTTGTGGGGAGGCATCAAATGAGGAAATGGGAGGTCAGCAACGATGTTGAAGGACGGATACACGGCGTGCCGCGGGAGGAGTCGAGATCACAACGGCCGGTGCCGGACATCCATGCAGGGAAACCGTTGCAATCGTCATCCATTCCGAGGCTAGCGCAGCCGTCAACTTGGTGAATCTGAAACTGCAATGTAAATACGGTGAATGAGAAATATACATGTGTAGAGGCAACTAAGCATGCAGGTTGCTCATTGATACACGATGTATGGTCGGTGTGGGATGTAGAATCCCCTGTTGCGATTCGCTATTGGTGTTGCAAATCGCTACAGAGACATTCACGTTCCCACCTGACATATAGACGACACAAACAAGTTGGGAATAATCTACTACTACCCTTGATTTCGCATGCCAGCGCACGTAAAGTGGGATATCGTCACACACGGGCCCAAGACCAACAACCACGAACCACGGAGGAGCTCACTGTAGTATGGAAGGACGGTAACATGAATTCAACACCATGGTATCTCTCTACGTCAAGCCAGCTACGTCGTCGAACTTGGTATTTCCCGCGAATAAACGCAGGGAATCTAGTTTGTTCCGACTCTGCTTCTGGCCATGTCGATCTCCCAACGTGCATGGCCGCCCAGCAAGACGCAGCTCGGTGGTCGACCCCTTCTTCTCTCTCCGCAAACCTTGCCTCTTCATTTCTCGACTGCGCTGCAAAAGGCGGCCGGTGCGACATTCTGCTGTAGCCTCGGCCTCTGTTTCTTGCCAAGTTGGGCATCCTAGCCCTTCCGTGCTACACCACCACATGTCTCCGTGATGCGGTGCAACACTGCAGCCGTCCCAGGACGTCGTCGCTGGTGATTATTCCCAGATCATTCCACAAACCCGTCATCCCGTCACTTGGCTCCTTGGCAACTGCGCGCCGCCGGTTTTGATCTCCCCCGCATGCCGCGATGAACGCACACCAGTCACGTCGCGGTGCGTCACACCATCTTGAACGGGGAACTGCAAATGTGCCTCGTTCCTGGGCCACATGGCACGTACAGTATGCGCCATTCCATGACCATTTCGCTCCCATCTACTCCGTACACCGCCTTGGACATGTGTACCTGTGTGACTCGGGCATCGTCAGCTACGGCGAACGGCTTTCTCCAGATCGGACTTTACATACCGCATTGGCGGAACGGGGGTTTGCATCCTTCGACCATGATTGTTGCAGGTCAACCGACGATCCCCCTCCCCCAGCCCCCCTCATCCTCCGTCGTGCCTCGTTTCGACGGATGGGTACGGAGTAGTTGTCTCTCCAGACCTGATACGGGCGAGCCCCGAAGGGTGAATTCTTCCAAGCGATGCAGAAACGCCACGGTGCCATCCAAGCCACCAACTCGGTCTCACATTTCCCCTTTCCCTCCTAGTCTACCACTCCCGTGCCTGAACCCTGCCCAACTACTCCGTAGACAAATAGCGCGTCACGGAGCGGGCATTAATGATTGTCGTTTCTCCCAACAAGATCACCGGAACTGCTGAAAACGCAAGATTTGCACAGGGGTTGCACGCCGCTCTTCTCCAAAGCGAACACAGTCTTCTTCGTCGGCCAAACACCTCCCAAGCTGGTTTCGTAGCCGTCACCATGAGCGCGGTCCCTTTCAGCCCTGGCCGTCGATCGCGTCAGGTGTGGTCGTCGGTCAATCAGCACAACTGACATGACACTAGTAGGGATCGGAAGGACATGAGACGAAACGATAACGTGTAGCCACCGCCGACGGGGACCCGACGGCAGGCAGCCGTGGCTTACCCAAATTCCCCGCAAACGACAAGGTCAAAAGAATCATGGCCAACGTGCAGGTTCCTTTCCAGGAAAGGCCAAGGTATGTGTACCCGAAGGTGTGTGGTGGACTTGCATGTTGTCATGTTGGACTGTATGCCCATCATCCACGTGATACAGATCTGAGATAACTACCTAGGTACCTAGAGGTAGTCATCCAAAGCATCTTGCCTTTGCTCCCGCGTATGTTGAATAGGATGAAATTGAACAAACAAAGCTATATATTGCGCGAAGTGCGGTGCTTCGCTTGAAATTACGCCTGTGGCTTGCGACGCTGGTTGCCGCCACTCTTCTTGGATCGTCTGTCTAGCTTTAACTTGTAACTTGGCTTATGCACGTTGCGCCAGGCAGAAACGTCCGAGATGCTCAGTCTATAGAACGGATAAACAGCACCCAGTGCCATTTGTGGCTATTCTATTAAAATACATATGTATAGTTGTACCTGTGGTCTAGTCGTTACACTGTGTTTGTCAAAAAAAAGCTTTTACCACCGTCTCAAAGAAAAATGAAACGAGCCGGCAAAAAAGGTACCATTGCTCATATTCCATTCCTGATATGCCATGTAATCGTACACCTTCAGAACGCTGAAAGGTCCTCAGCAGCGAATGCCACTGCTGCATGTCCCCGTTGGACGAGCAATTGTTAATTTTGCTTCTCAAACTGCCACCCCCAGGCAGCTACTCGTCACCATCGACTCCCGTTTCTCTTGCAATATCATCAGTGCGTTAAAATCCTCACGCCCTGCAGGATTAGTCCAAATATCAGGCCTCTCGCCACCTCCTCTATCTGCAAGCAGTCAAACACCCTACCGAGTGCCTCACCCGTGGCCGCCTGTCCCATGACACCCATCAACGCTGCCGGGACTCCACTCTGGATGAGAAGCCTGCGTGCCTTAATTGCCAACTTTTCCTTTTCGTCAGCTGTCATTTCTTCCGGCCAGGTAGCCCTCTCTTGGTCTGTGGGCATTGTATTCTCCCGAAGCTTGCGCAGCTGAGCTGCGATTCCAGCGTCCGATGTGTTTGCATCGAGCACAGATGACTGGATCAAAGACTGCACAGTGAGCAATGACGGATTCCCCGGTCTCAGGAGGAAGGACTTGGCTGCGGTCAGAAGCGTGCGGCGAATGTTCCATGCAGACGAAAGAGTATACATCTCATTAATCACAGCAAACAGGAGCTCGACGGCCACTCTGGTTTCTTGCTCCGACATCTGCGAGTACTGTTTGACAGGCTTCGTCATCGTCTTCTTCCCACTATTCGGGGTCGACAAGGACGGCGCACTAGAGCTGTTTGGTAGACCGCGAATAGTTTGATAGATGTTCGCACCATCGTTTTGTCTCGATTGTGTTTCATCACCATTCACTGATGATTCATAATCACTCATCATCTCGTCTGGTGGCGGGGGAAGCTTCGTGAAATCAAGACTAACGGTCGAAGGTGACCGAAGTGCCGCCAAGCTAGATGCTCTACTATGCTCCATGCTGGGTCGTGCACTTGCTGGGCCAGATCCAGTCTCGATTCTCTCAGCACTGCGACCCATCCTCCCCATCTCACCGTCAATATCGCCTACGGACTGGTAACTGGGCCGTCGCGACATTGGTGCCATCTTTCCGGGTTGGATGGAGATAATCGAAGAGCGTTGGCTGTCCATGCTAGCTCTATCTGATCTGGCTGGAGATCTTGCTGAATCCACTCGAGGCGGCGTGGATATAGATAGTCTATTCACAGACCCCGTCAAATCGACTGACTGGCTGGTCGATTTCCTAGTCAAACCAGCAATGTTGCCGAATACTCCGCTTACACCGCCAACCAATGTCTTGCCTCCTTCCACAGCACCTTTGGGCGCAATAGTAAGAACGTCAAGCATGTTCTTGCCAACAGTCTCCCAGCCAAAGGATTTTGAGTTACCGTGTGTATGGCCCTGAGACTTCTCCAGGAAGCGCTTCATGCCTTCACTCTCAGCCAGTGACTGATACCAACACCCGTCCCTCAGGTACCTTTCAAGCTCTCCCCGGAGAGACTCTCTTGTGTGTATTTTCCAGCTTGGCAATTCTTTGTGCAGCTCCATAAATGCAGTGGCTCCAGATATAGTTGCAATCCTCCTCAGAATCTCATGTAGCGTTTCAAAATCTGAGTAACGTCGAACAATCATCCATCCAGTATGTGCAGACGATGACGGCTCGACTTGGATTAAATAGTCCCAACTAGGTTTGCTGCGAATCTTGCCGCCGTCACCTGAGGCATCATCGTGCAAAGTAAACGACGCGTTATGAAGCGTAAGAGGAGCCTTTCGAGGACCATCCTCGTCATTGTCCTCCGATTGACCTGGTGGCACAATCTGATCAAACGAAGTAAAGTGCTGCTCACTGGACCGCTGTGGTGATGACTTTTGGCTTGGGGACTCGAGGCCAGATCTGGGCGTAACGGGCGTGTTCTCTGCTTCACTCTTGGTAGAGTCTGTCGACGCGCCTCTGGGAGACGACTTTTCACCCAGTCCCTTTAATACAGCGGGCTCTTCGGGAGTTTCGGGTGATTTCTGACCGGTTTCCTGGGATTCTGACACCAACTCTACACTCTTATTAGACGTATCTGTCCTGTCCAGATTGGTATCGTCTCTCTGTTGTCGTTCATCATCTCGAGCAATCATTGCATTCATTCGTTTCGTTTCTCCCATGGCACCTTCCAGCTCTTCATCGGCTCTACTCAACTTTTTCTTATGGCCGAGTGATTCTTTCCGACGCGACCGATCCAATTCCAAACTTGAACGAGCCACTACAGGCTTTGCAATGCCAATGTTGCCTACATTTCCGTCAATGTCTGCAAACACGTTGGACCCAGTGTCACGGCCAGTTTGCATTCCGACGTCAATGGCCTGGTTGATGTCTGGTTCGCCAGCCTCCAGAAGATACACAATCCATCCATTAATCCATTCGGCCTTGCTGCAAGTCTGCAGGGTTGTCTCAAGCACAGAATTGGCAAGGATTTCTCGAAGGAAAATCCGAGCTGGATCGCAGTTTTGGACACCTTGATCCAGAAACCCCAAGAGATCCTCAGCTACCATCCTGAACTTGGCAGCTTGCTGTTTCTGATTGAGTAGGTTGGCAAGTCGAGAATCTGGATTCGATGCCAGGTAATTGTATACTGCATCTGCTGCGGTCATGTTCGTTTCAGGAGGCAGGTCCGCAAAAGCCGCAGCGAGCTCTGATAACAGCGCGATGACGATGGAAGAACCGTTCGCAAGTAGATCCAAGAAAGCGTCTGCTGGTCGTTTCTTGGATATTCGATTGGAAATAGACAGCAGATACGAGTTCAGCGTCTTTCGGCAGGACAGAGGGAATGAATGGTCGCCTGGTATAATTGGACTATACCACCACTTGACGTAGTCTCGAATGACTGCGTCCACAAGTCCGCCTAGGGCGTCCCGTGTTTCTGGTCGAAAATCGTCAAAGGACTTAGAGGCAGTCTCTTCGTAATCGCCATCTTGGTTGCAATCATTCCTTTTGCACTGCTGCAAATCGAGCCAGACCCTATCGAGAACTTCTGGTCCCTTTTCTCCCCGCACGGCTTGCGCAATGGCTGGATTTCTGGTTTCTAGCGAGATCAACGCTAGCACACCACCGATGGCACCAATTAACAAGAGACCGATTTGGCCGAGGAGGGCATATATCATAGCAGACGCTGCGACTGCAACACCTGCTAGGGTCGCTGGCGTGGCTTCGGAAATGAATTTGAGAGCTTTGGCGGCAAGGGCAGACGTCTTGTCGTCGAGCTCCGTAGGTTCCGCTGTCGACGCCCGAGCCACATTTCGGTCCCTTGAGTCGGTCTCGTCGGTCTTGACTAGGTCATGTTGGTCGCCTATCGTCGCCGTCTCGGGCTTCTGGGCTTCATACTCAGGGGTTGGTTCGTGGGGGGCGGCGAGCTGGTTTACGCCGTCGCAGTTTGTTGAACTCATGGGAACAACCCGTCGTTGGTAAAATGGGACGGGAGTCAACCCAAGCCTTGGCGAGAATCTCAATCGGAAGATGCTTATGGCACCACGACAATGCTATGGCGCGGGTCGAGATCAAGCTGGGTAATATAAGTAGATGCCAAGTGGGGAGAGTGCTAGCCTCTAGGAGATGTTTCGAGTCTGATCCTATCGTCGCACTGGATAAGCTACAGCGTCTCGAAATTGAGATCCGTTGCCCTGGTCATCCATCAGGAGGAGGGAATTCCGGGGCTGCTTTCTTTCTTGGGGCCGAGTCAAGTCAACCCCTATCAGTCGCTAATTTTAGTGTTGCCGTAGTGCGGCCCAGCCGTCAACCCGCCAATCTGCCAATGCTGGCCTGCGCCACTGGTACAAGCTGTACGGAGTACGCAATTGGGATTTTCAATGATATCAATATCAACGTCGGCAACTTGCAATACACAACAAGGGCAACGTTGTGGGCGCTTTGGCTTGCGAGATAGATATGGGCAATAGGACAGTTGGGCTTTTGGCACATGCATCATTGTTCCACGAAACGAGGGCAGCTGGCAGCCGCGCAGCCTAGGATTTCTGTCACGTGAGATCGTGTTGCAGCTGGCCCAAATGTGACGCGTCAAGCAGCACGGTCCAGTTTCAAGCTTCCACTCCAAAGCCGCAGCTTTTATCCAGTCGATTTCCAAGTAACCCGGTGCACCAACTCTGGAGAATTTTGATCAAGCCTCCTCGTTCATCGCACAGAATCATGTCTCCTTCGACCAAGAGACGGGCTGCTGATGATTCTGATGAGGATCAAAAGGTCTCCGTCAAGAGTTCGAAGAAGACCAAGCACAATGTCACCGCCGATGGCGAAGATGACGACGGCAACCCATTTTGGGAAGTAAGCTGCAATCTACGTCTCTTGCGTCACTTGCGATCATCCAGCTTTGTTCTGTGGGCTAATTCAGCGTACCACAGCTCTCAAACAAACGACGCGTGGGAGTGTCGCAATTCAAGAGCGTGTGCCTGATCAACGTCCGAGAGTATTATGAAAAGGATGGCAAAATGCTCCCAGGGAAAAAGGTGCGAACCCCGAGCGCAGTGTGCGTATCCGCTCTTCTATGCATCCTAACTCGATAAACAGGGAATATCGCTTTCTGTGGCCCAGTACACGGCGTTGTTAAAGGCCGCACCTGGTATCAACGCTGCACTTCGACAAATGGGCCAGGCCATGGAAGATGTTGACGACCTAGGTGATGCGACAGTCGAACCAACAAAGAAGCCCAAGAAAGAGAAGAAGAACGCATCCAAAGCCAACATTGACGCAACAAGCGACGAGGAAGACTAGAAGACCTACCTTCACAGCATCAAAAACAAGAAAATGAAGAGGGAAGGCTAAGAGATGCTGACCAATTTCTTTGCATGGCGTTGGGGATTTTGTTTCCGCATCCAAAAACCCTATTTGGATCGGGAGCACTCGATGAGTGCTTGGTTTTACTTGTGGACTATCTGGAGTCGTATTTCCTGAATTTTTTCCCCCTCTTGATTTGTTACTTGACGATGCAGCATAGGAAGGACGATTATGTAAGATGCACAAAATTGCTCTGGTGTGAGGGAACTGGTGAGCGTTATACCACTTGAGGGAGGCTTGTCTCGGTCGGCTCGCCTCGGGACATGCAGAGTCCCCCACCAAATTCAACGGACAATACTTGGCTATAGGTTAGGAACCTAGGTATTTGCTATTCAATACATGAATGAAAACGAAGCTTGCATGGTCGAGGTTGGCCCTGTGCTTGCCATAATGCTGGTGCTGGATATTCGGAATACGTCAAGATTCAACGCTCGAAGCTCGAAGCCGAGCGACGGCGCTTCTGGTCTGAGTGCCCCACCCCCTATTACTTCCCCACCTACGGAGTAACTTCTGAGCGTTAAGGTTCAGTGCCACCAGTTGACCCGTGCAGGTTGATTGCATCCCGCTGCCGTGGCGGTTGTGGCACGAGACGTTCAATGTTGGAGAGAGACTGCCTGGTTGCATCTGACGTCGCTGGCCCGTCCACTCGACCGCATTCTGTCCTCTAGTTCCTTCCCAAGCCACTCTTCACTCGCTGCTCTACGTTCTGTTTTACAATCCAGTTCTCCATTGATCCTGAATCTTTCGCTTCGCCAGTCTAGTCTGCAGCACGCTCGTTGCTGTCGCAACCTTTGCTCTCTGGGTATTACGAGCAGTTCAACTAGACTTGGCCCCAACTGGCACACCCGTCGTCGATAAACCCCCTTCCAGAGTCTGGTCTCATTCAGCTCAAACACAACGTACAGCGTTCTCCATATGCGTCCGCGATCGCTTCTCAGATTCACTTCATCTTTTACTAAATGCTTCAATCCATGATTTATCTCGTTGCAACCTTTGGTGTGCTGCCACAACATTCAACATGAGGCTCCCATTCCGAATACAACTTGCCCGTGTCGAATCGGTGCACAACTACGCTGGAGTGCTCGTTCCATTAGAAGAAGCACACCTTCATAGCAAGTCTGCAAGATCTGGTCGTACGGAATATGAGTCACGACAAGACAGCCATGACGATGACGTCGAAGCCGGTGCGGCCGAGGGCAAAAATTCGGACAGCGAGACGCAGGGAATGTTGCAGATGGAAGCGGCAGAATACACTATCGAGGGCTTGCGAAAGGAAACCAGGAGAGGCCGCCAAGGCCAGTGGACCGAGTATGAGATCAAGTCGAAGCTTATTAATAAGGCCATCGGTGATATTGGCATGGGAACATACAATTGGCAATTGTTTGTCCTCTGCGGTTTCGGCTGGTTCGCCGACAATCTTTGGTTGCAAGGCGTGTCCCTCACCTTGCCTTCGCTATCTGCTGAATTCGATATTTCAGAAAAAAGGGTCAGGTACACCACAAGCGCTCTTTTTGTTGGCTTATCTCTGGGAAGCTTCATTTGGGGTATTGGGTCTGACTTTCTCGGCCGCCGCATCGCTTTCAACTTCACGTTACTCATTACCAGTGTCTTTGGAATCGCATCAGCCTATGCACAGAGCTGGGGGGCCGTCAGCTGTCTGTTTGCTGCCTTGGGATTCGGCGTCGGGGGGAGCTTACCCGTAGATGGCGCATTGTTCCTCGAGTTTCTCCCAGATGCGTCTAGTTCGCTTCTTACCTTGCTTTCGGTCTGGTGGCCAATCGGTCAGTTGATTTCGTCTCTAGCTGCTTGGTACTTTATCGCCAACTATGTCGTGGATCAAGGTTGGCGATACTTTATTGTTTCCATTGGTATCGTCACCTTCGCCATGTTCGTCATCCGATTCTTCATCTTCCGGCTTTTCGAGTCCCCAAAGTTCCTCCTCAGCAAGGGCCGCCAGGATGAGGCCGTGGCAGTTGTTCACGGCATTGCGTACAGAAACCAGACAAAGACTTGGCTCACCTCAGAACTCCTGGATCTAGTTGCCGCAAACGATGACGCCGGGCCCGAACCTGAAGCTTTGGGATCGCACCTCCCCATTTTATCTGGGTCTAGTACTCTGTCCAACAAGCTCAAAAGTTTCTCGGGAGAGAGGCTAAAGCCCCTCTTCCAAAACAAAACCTTGGGCTGGGCCACGGGGCTTATCTGGTTCTGTTGGGCCACCATTGGAATGGGGTATCCCCTTTTCAACGCCTTTCTACCCCAATATTTCTCTCACGGCCACGACGGCGGTCAGGAAGTACCATCCGAAACATCGACAATCTCAAATGAGACCTACCGAAACTACGCCATCACTTCGATCATGGGGGTACCAGGCAGTGTGCTGGCCGCATACCTTGTTGACTCTCCGTCTCCTTTCTTCGGCCGTCGTGGCACCCTGGCTGGTTCCACGCTTGTGTCCGCCATATTCCTCTTCCTCTTTGTAATATTTGGAAAGACGCCTACCGCCCAGTTGGCATTTTCTTGCGTTGCTGCATTCTCACAAAACATCATGTACGGTGTACTGTATGCGTTTACTCCCGAGATCTTCCCCGCTCCTGTGAGAGGGGCTGGAACTGGAGTGGCAAGCTTCCTGAACAGAATTACAGGGTTAATAGCACCGATCCTGGCTGCGAATATTCCCGGAGATGGGGCAACGACGCCCATTTACTTATCTGCTATTTTAATTTTATCGGCGTTTGTGGGCATGTGTTTGATTCCCATTGAAACAAGAGGTGCACAGCGCCTCTAAACGGCTTTCAATTAGTTCGGGACAGGATCTGGGTCTGAGCTGGATAGATTGGCATGTGTTCGTCGACGAACATGAAGCCAGGTTTACGTGGGGACGATGAAGCGAATCGTGTATTATACGCTGTATGCGTTTACCTAACACGGGATATTGTACATTGTTGAGGCCAGGTGTTACATATCATGGTCTATTAGATGTCAATTCTAGCGCAAATACATCCCTCTAAGCTATACAAGTCTTGAAATGTGAACTACATGCAGGGTAAACAAAAACGGCCAAAAAAAACCCTATCGGTTTCCCTTTGCACCGCTGGGAGCATCTATTCTTCGCTTCGTAAATGACTTCCCCATAGCATCTCTAACCATGGGATCCGCCCGAATGGTATTTTGTACAAGCCACTCCCTCATCTTGCCCTGCAAGTTATGCACGCTGGCCGTGTCGCCCTTGAACGGCGCAACCTCCATATCCATCAACCGTCCCGCATCGGCATCAAGCTGCTTCGACAACGTCTCGAGGCGGACCAAGTTCTCCCGCAGTGACTTTTCGTCATCAGCAGCCGTCGTCTTTTTCGTCTTGGGGCTCTGCACCAGCAACGGTCCTATTTGCGAGAGCGCGATGTACACCGTCAAGATGAGCTTCCTCAACAGCGCTATGAACTGGAATGGCAAATAGGGTTCGCGAAATGTGACCCGCGTCATGATTGCATTGGCCAAATTTAAAATGGGCGGGAAGGCCGGCCTCGTGACGGTATGGATTTCGAAGAGGAAGAGGGTCAGGAGGATAAGCCATCTGTAAAATTTGCCGAACTCCAAGTACCCGAACAGACCGAGGACGTAAATCAGGGCGGCGGCCACTCCGTAATGTGGCATGATGTTGTACAGCACACCCCGCGTGACAAAGTCCTTGATGGTCGCGCACTTTTCCCAGCTATTCATATCATGGCCGAACCGTTCGTAGGCGAATCGCTTCGCGACGTCCTGGAGCGTGTCCGAGGCAAGCTTCAGGTGGATGAAGAATTTGGAGGACTCGGCAGCTTCCTCGACGCTCGTCTTGTCCGGGTGATGGAAGGCAGCAAGCCTGCGGAAGCGTGACTTGACCTCGCGGTCGGTGGAAGCGAATGGCACGCCGAGGGCTGAATAGTAGGTGGGCTCGCGGCGAAGGTCGTGGTCTGCTTCATAGATGGTGTAGAGGAGGTAGGCGGTTACGACGAGGATGTGGATTCGGCGGCGATGTTGGGCATAGCGTGGGGTGCCGGCTTGGGGCTTGGGGTCGCCGGCACGGATGGTGATGCCGTAGTAGATGGTTTGGACCCAGGAGGATGCGAGCTGCGAGGAGTCAGTGGGTGGTTTGAAGGCGAAGGGGAGGAAGGGGGGGGTTCGTACTCCGGGCAGGAAGGACCAGCCTATCAAGGAGAGGAAAGCCGACATGGTGAGCGATGAAGCATCACGATGCTGTGTTGGTAGAGGCGGCGGCAGCGGTGGTGATTGTCGGTTTGGGTGTTCTTTGAATCTTTGTTCAACCGGACGATTTTAAGGACAGAGTGGCGCGCAAGATAAAATAGGCCAGTGCCTGGGGTGCCTAGGCGGCAGTGGCTGGTGGGGGTGGTTGCATGTGTCCACGTAGCTTCATCAGAGTCAGGCTCTTGCTCGTCTGCTAAGCGCTACCGGCGAAACTGGAGGGGTACGTGGTATCTCAATGCTATATTTCGTTGTTTTACTCATTTGGCGGTGATTTCTACGAGTTTGGAGATTGGCCTTGTCCAGGAGCATTCGCAGTCTCGGCGTTGCACTCATAGCTGCCGTGCGTGGTTATTTTTAGCCGCACATTCCAAGTTGACGTTTGTCCAACCAGACTCGAAAGGACAAGACAGACAGTACTCTTCCTCCAGCCCAGGTTTTTCGTCCTTCAAGAGGATGTAGTAAAGACTGTTTTGCATTTCAGACAGCATGTCCAATAGTGCTCGACAGTCGGCCGTTTTATCGTATGTGCCTCCATGTCGGCACACAACTGCCGAATCCACCAAACGCAGGCCCCTTGTCCCTGCCATTTCAGCACTTCGCGGTATGCTTTGGCCGAGCTGTACGCCAGAAGTTGAAGAACTGTCTTCAAATGTTTGCAGCGACTAGTCACCAGTCTAGGTCAGGCGAGCCGTCGTCTCCAAAACTCGCGATGGACGGGCGATCCTTCGATGTGTGCAGGTCTTTGTTTCTCGTGACCTCGGCAGACGACACAGCCTGAAGTACTCCATTGATGATGGACATGGGCGCTGCCATTTATCAAATGAATGAGCTGCCACTGTCAGCATTGCAGGCTCCCAAGTACTCAGTGCTAGCCTCTCTACACTCAGTGTGCTGGAACGTTGACACATTGACAAATCAGACAGATCAATCTCATCCCCAGCCTGGACAAGGCAGGCGCACCACACATGCGGGCAATAGCAGCCACAGCAGGCGGCATCTGGCACCAGACTGGAGGGGTCTACTCCGTACGGAGTACTCCGTACCGCTGCAAACGATGCACAGCCCGCCTGGCCCCTTGTTGCAAACCTTGGCGACCCACGCTGAGACCATGTGGTGCAGCTGGTGAATTGCCTCACCTCGTTGGCCAGACCTCCTTCAGCTAGACTTCGGGCTAACCCTCTCCAAATGCCATCCTGGGTTGACGTGCCCGACTGAGACCTGGGCACATGGGCCATGGAATGTCTTGATGGGCTGGCCCATCTACAGGCCGTTCTCGAAGGAGCTTATGAAGCTGCTGCGCAGGCCGTCTTCGGTGTGCGTTGGTGGCCGATTGTGTCGTGGGCTTCAGTACGTCGTTTGTTTCCGCCACCGTCGCCATTATCTCCTCGGAATTCATTGAGTGAGGCCCGTGTCACTAACGCGCGTGTCATATCATCAAGTTTCTACGAGCTGTGCCCTTTACGGCAACAGTCCTGGCCGCGTGCAACGGCCACAATGAGCTTTGCGGCAAGAGATATTCAGAGGTGACGTTTGTGGGAAGCCACAACAGCGCTTTTGTCGGCAATACACCTATGCACAACCAGTATGTATCTGTGACGGATCAGTTGAACCTTGGTGTGCGGTTCTTGCAGGCACAGACACACAACAAGTTCGGAACTATTGAGATGTGCCATACCTACTGCTGGGAATTGGACTCGGGCACACTGAAGAAGTACCTGCAGGAGATTGCGGACTGGATGAACCGCAACCCGAATGAGGTTGTTACGCTGCTTCTGACCAACGGCGACGCTATTCCGGTTCAGAGGTTTGACGCAGTCTTTCGGAATACCGGTCTGTCGCAATATGCGTTCCATCCAAAGGCTGTGCTGTCAAAGGGCCAGTGGCCAACGTTGCAACAGCTTCTTGACGCAAAGACTAGGCTTGTTGTCTTTATGGGTAAGCAACGATTTAGCTCTGCCTTCATCAGGATAATGCTTGGGCTGTGTGTTTTGGATGGGTGTTGATACATTACGGGCTAGATTATCACTCAGATCAATCCAAGGTTGACTACATCATCAACGAATTCGACTACTTCTGGGAGACTGCATACGGCATCACAGACAAGGACTTCCCTACGTGCAGTGTCAACCGACCAAGCAGAGGGGATCCGAACAAGCTCATGGGCATAATGAACCACATGCTGAATATCAAGATCGGCGACATCGTGTTCCCGGATCAGGTTGACACTAAGACGACTAACTCAGTCGACTCCATCACAAAGCAGGTCGACAGGTGTGAGAGCCAGGGCAAGCCTCAGCCCAATGTGATTCTGGTATGTGCGCCGTACAGGTTACTTATTGCCGCTTGGTGTATCCGCCGCTGACAGCATCTTGAATAGCTCGACTACATCAATATAGGCGAAGCACAGCAGGCACAGTTGAAGTTCAACGGTTTGGCATGACGTGACGGAATGTTGGTTGGTACATATGAGAGAATAGGCGGGGCGCATTAATGTATTGGATGCTTTTTGCATAACTCGGGGTAATGAACATTGAAATGCATGCTATTTGTCGCAGCACTGATGGCCAGCGACGACGTGACGTTGGAACACGCTGCCACCTACGAAGCCCCTGTACTGACAACGGTGCTGTGCCGTGTTTGATTATCAAAAAAAGAGAAGCACGGGTTTCCATGCGTAGCCAATTGTGTGAAACACTCAGCCAACAGCATATACATACCTAGACCTAAGTCCATAGTATGTACATAGCTTCCACTCTGTCTGGTATTTCTGCGACGAGCAAAGCAAGGCACCTGGGCTGTGATGGTGTTCACATGCTGACATAGTCGGCGCTGGCGTGAATCTAAAAAAAAAAAAAGCGGGCGGTCGCGCTTGCCCCTGGATCCAAGCAAACCAGAGCAAGCCGGCGAATCAGAGCGCAGGCATTACGGCAGATCGCAGCGTCAGGAAAACTAGAAACACAGCCTGGACAGACATGGGATCCATTTTTTGCCCTTTTATGCCATGCAGCTTGTTCTGCATTTGTGGAGGACAGATGCATGGGCGTCATTATTGAAGCAACGCTAGCCTCCATGCCGACATGGACTTGTCGTGTTCAAAAGTTAAAAGAGGCTTGAAGGGCAGGGGCGAGGCATGCCCGCATTCCATGTCATCACCATCTCTGCCACTTTGTCAGAGGTGCTGTTTTATGACTTGAAGTCAGTGTTCGGTACAACTTGTTCAAGCTGCCTGGTGGTATTAGGCTATTCACTTAGCTACAGCTACGCGGATGCCGAGGGGGCAACACATACTGGTGCACTAAGCCGGTCATTGAACACGCAAAAGCCATGCGACTCTGTGCGCGACGGCCGCCCACTTTCCCATTATATTACGGCACGGCCAGGTCGAATCCTGCCTCTCCTTCATTCAAACCTAACTCGGCACTCTTTTCCTTCTCGGTGCGCATTGTGTGATATCTGCTTTTGTCTCTAGCATCGTCGACACGCACGCCTCCAGCATGTTGCCGAAATCGCTTTGGCGTGCGGCGTTCTTGGCCTGTGCCGGTAAGATTGCGTCCTGGCAAACGACACACCTCGGCTTCGACATCATCATCGGGGATGGGAGCACGAACATGGAGTACCGCGCCGATATGAACGATACTAACGTGTTGCCGCAGCCCTTACTCCCGCGATTCGCGCCGACGGTGCAAATCCCCCCGGTCAATCAACCTTCATATCCCCGGGCAACAGTGTCGCCTTTGCCTTTACCGTGCCCAACGACAACGACAATCCTAGAAGCACATTTTTCAGCATTCGCGTCCCCAAGAAGTACACTTGGGGCGGCGTTGGCCTCGGCAGCGACGACATGAAGGGTGCATTATTCTTGATCATCTACCAGAACGGAGACGGCACCAACGTCACCTTCTCTCCGCGTATAGCCCATGGCAACTACGAGCCCTTCTTCTTCCGTGATATGCGGTGGACAGTCATCCCGAATCAAACGGGTATTATTGACGACTACATGATTTTTACGGCCATGTGCACCGAGAGTTGTCGCACCTGGCCCGGCGGAGACACAACTGGTGGCTACATTGACGTCTCCTCGCCGGCCCAACCAGCCATTTATGCCGTTGGCCCTGAGGGTACGCTCAAGGACGATAGCCCCAGTGCCGGATTGAGGTACCATCATGAGTACGGCGTGTTCAATATCGACATGAGGAGGACAAGGGGTGCCGCGGATGCGCCTGTCCTAGACACGCACACCAGGCTTGATGGGGCTGTGCAGGTCTCCAGCGTTACTACAAAGGGGGACTTGAAGGCGACACTGCATGCCGCATTCATGATTTTTTCCATAATTGGTCTCATGGGCTTCGGTGGTATCTTGCTCTTGCCCGCTGTTGGCTTGGCAAAATGGCATGCCTTGAATCAGATTGTTGCTACAATGGGCGTGCTAGGTGGTTTATTTCTGGGTGTCTTGGCCAGTTTCAACTATCAGAGGGTAGGTTTTGACTATTAGTACCCCGGCTGGGAATGTCATTTGCTGTTGCTAACACGAGTTCGTATAGTCCCGGAGCTTCAAGCACCATCATCAAGTGCTCGGTTACATCATTGTCGCATTCATCTTGGCGCAGTTAGGATTGGGAGTCCAGCATCATTTCAAGCACCAGCGGACGAAGGCTCCCACCATTTTTGGCCAGATACACGTGTGGTTAGGAAGACTGATTCTTCTTCTAGCTGCCGTCAACGGCGTCATGTACGTCTTCCACCCGTCCGTTGCAGACTTTTTTCTCGCGGCTTTTTCTCTCTTTTATTTTTGCTAATACATAATGCAGCGGGTTTACCTTTGCTCTGAAGGGCACATCAGCCATCGTTTTCGGAGTATTCGTATGCGTTTTCACTGTTGCAGCCGTTCTGTTAAGACTACGGTACTTTCCCATCAAGAGTCATAAATTCCAACCTGTTGGTGCTCAACAGTCACACACGTGGCGACAAAGCTCTGGTTACAACGCGGGCTACTCTTCAAGGCATCCGCCAGGCTACGAGCCACCCTCACAGCAAATTGGCTTGCAAGCCACTAGGTCCTCCTCGGAGAACTCGCCATGGAAGAGCGGTAATAACAAGGATTGCGAAGACGACGAGCCGCAACTAGGAAACGCCCAGAGGCCCCGAGAGTTTGCATAAGCGTTGTTAATGTTTTGCTAGGCATGCTGATTGTTTCTGTTACAGCCGACAAAGCCTCAAGGTTAGCGCACGAATTTTTTATGTTATTATCTGATGATCAAGGATGTGGAGCTGCCTTGGGCATTTCATATGTAGGGTGCATAGGACATGAGAATAGGATGGCGTTGCGTTGTTTAAAATGCCTCTTTTTTTCTTTCTTAGTGAACATATTCATACCTTAGCATCTACCCGTCTCATTATTTGGCTCCTCTTCGTCTCCCTCTAGCCAAATCTCATGCCCATCCCCCTCTTTCACTAGCAAGCTTGCTAAACACGCACAAATGGCCACGCAGCTCAACAGCCAAAACACCAACCCGACATAGCCCCTGCTCAAGCCAAACCCATAGACCACGCCGCCAATGATGGGGCCGACGGTTCTCGCAAAACTACTGACGCTCTGTCCTAGGCCATGTACAGTCCCCAGCACGCTTGGGTGCGGCGAGCAGTTATTAATCAGAATGGCCTGACTTGGCAAAGCAAACGTCCTACCCATGACTTGTATAAAGAGCACCCCACAAATGGATAGCCAAATTGCGGCTCCGGTCTTGCTGTGCGGCGGCCCAGAAGTACTCGGAATGACGGACAAGTACGGGACAAGGAAGTAAGCCACCGGGAACAAGAGGAGGAACACACGCCAAGACATGAGCGTGCCCAGCCGCTCCGACATGCGAGGGTAGAAAAAGAGTTGCAAAGCGATGCCGATGACGCCCAGGATGGCCATGGCCACACCAACGGCCTGCGGATGCATGCCTATACCGCCGGTGAAACGAAAGGGCAACCGGACGCCGTGGTCCGAAGCAGACGGATCAAACACGGGCGTCGAGAGGAAGACAAACCAAAGCGAGTTGAAGGTGCCGATGTGGAACGTGAGGAAGAACTGGGCAAACAGCGTCAAGGCGACATTCCGCGTGAATATCCGGCGAAACGGCAGCCGGCGTGTGTACCGCCTCGCCGGCAGCTTTCCCTGCGCGCTGCCATCACCACCAACACCACCGTCGGTCGCGAGCTCCAGCGCATCCGACGGAATCGGCACGTATCCCGCCTCTGCGTGGCCGCGGCGGAACACGCTGCGCAGGAGACCGGCGAGGCGCGAGCCCGCGCGGGTTCCCAGGTCCGGCGGCGCGTCCCGCAGCGAGTCGAGCGTCTCCTCGAGGCCCAGCCACACTGCTGCCGCGGCGAGCAGGAGAAACACGCAGCTGACAATGTTGGGCGCCGCGTAGGGGAAGTCGACAAAGAAGCGGACGTGGCCGAACAGACGGGGATACGTGCCCGCCGGGTCGGACAGGATGCCACCCAGCATGGGACCGACGATGACGCCAATGTTGAACGTCATGGGGAGGAGGAGGAATGCACGGGCTTGGAACCTCTTTTCGCGGATGATTTCGGAGATCCTGCCAGCTTTGTTAGCACCAAAGTCAACAAGGCGTTTTTTCCGCAAAGGATTTAGGGCCTTTGAGGTGGCAGCAGCCGGCAGACGTACATTGTTCTCATGACGCCGATGTTCCCGTTGGTGCTGCCGCCCAGGGTGCGAAAGACCAGCGCCTGGCGGAAGCTCGTGGAGAAGCCGAAGCCCAGGCAGGACAGGCTCGTGCCCAGCAGGCCGATGAGCAGGACCGTCTTGCGGCCGGCGCGGGGGGAGTCGGCGACGCGGCCCCATGCCATGGCCGTCAGGAACTGCGCCGCCATGAAGGAGGCGTGCAGGATGCCTGCCTGCCTGGATATGAGGGCATCGGGGGACTCGGGGCTGAACCACTTCAGCTGGTAGTACATGTATGACTGTTGCGGGAGGGGAGCAAGGGAAGAAGGCAGAGCGTAAGCGTCTTGTGAGTTTGGCTTTCCGTGGACGGCGAGGAACAACGTACCTGCAGGGATGTCTGGACCAGAGGCTCACTCATGCGAGCCAGCGTGATGATGATGAGCTGCTTTTTCCGCGGCAAGTCTCGCCAGGCGACGGGTTCTCTGGCGAGCTTGCTGGCCTGCTCCCCGTCTGTTCGTGGCTGCATGCCGGCCGGAGGAGGCCGTTGTTGGTGTGCGTTGGCCGCGAGGCCGGGGGCATCTTGGTCGTCCAGGTGCGTGTTGGTGAGGAGTCCTGCATCTACATGTTGGCAGCGGTAGGAGGGCGACTTGTCACGGCAGGGCATGTGGTTACGGGTGGTGTAGTTGAAGACTGCGTTGCCGAACTCGGAATTGCGGAAATGTCCTGCCGTGTTGGTTAAACAAGCGAGGGCTGCGTGTGGCTCACGATGCTGCTGTCAAGTATCACAAGTCGTCGTCCGGCACTACGAAAGAGAGTCTTTGCAAACATGGGAAATGCAAGTTTACATAGGTAGGAAAAGGGACAAAGGCAAACTCTGGCTAGCGAGAGAAGATGTCCCATGCATGGGTGGGATTTTCGCGTAATGCCCATCGCGCGCTTTCCTATTCGCCTCCGGCCTCTGGCGGTGCGGAAACCTGAATTTGTGTGACCGCACTTGGGGACGGAAATGCCGAGTCGGTGCCGAGCTTTTTAATGGGTATGTATTGTATCGCGCAGCAGGCCAATCCTATGTTGACGCTTTGCCTTTTTTTTTCTTTTTTTTTTTGGAAAGCGTGGCGAAACCATGTGAGGGCTTGAAGTTGAGCAAAGTTTGGGGGCATTGCGGCGTCTTGTTTTGTTGAGAATGGAAACAGAGAATGCATTGAAACTTGTCCGCCCACGGAGGCGGCCGGCCGAGGGTCGGTCAGACTGGTCCGGAACCGGCGCCCCGCGCCAGGCCGGTTGTCTCCATGCTGCTGATGGCAATACACCCTGAGTCGGCGGTTGAGTTCAACTCGTTGCGGTCACAACTCACTCTGCGCACTTGGCGGATTTTTGCTCGGCCGCTATTCTACTGCGGCGGACGAGCTGGGGCAGCACTTGAGGGTATTATAAAGAGCGGCCGAGAAGCGTCCACCGCCGCATCTCGATTCTCGATTCTCGACAGCCTCGCCGCGCTGAACCTCTGCCGCCACCATGTCCTTCACGGTCCAGGTCAACGACGCAATCCGAGTCACGGCCCAGCCCCTCACCCAGGAGGCATTCCTCCCGTACGGCAGCGTCATCGCCAATCCGCGACCCGACGTCCACCCGTCCGCCTTCTCGTCACACTCGGCGGCGCTGCCCGCCAACGCCGTGTCCGCAAACCAGGGCCACGCCATCCAGTACCGCAATGTCAGCCGCGTCAGAAACCTCTACGCCCAGTCGCCCAGTGGGAGCGCCGACGCCGTCATGAGCATGTTTGTCTGCTCGGCGCGCGACCTCGCCCCCCTCAACAACGCCCAGGACATGTTCGCCGTGCGCCTCCTCGAGCGACACCCCTTCACCACGCAGACCTTCTCGCCCGTCGCCTCCTCGGCGAGGCGCTACCTCGTCGTCGTCGCGCCCAGCCTGGCCCCCGGCGAGGCCGACCACCACCTGCCCGTCCCGGCCGGCGACGACGTGCCCGGGAGGGGGCCGCCGGACGTGAGGGCCTTGAGGGCATTCGTTGCCACCGACGCGCAGGCCGTGACGTACGGCGCCGGCACGTGGCACGCGCCCATGGTGGCTCTGGGTCCGCCCGGGACGACGCTGGACTTTGTGGTTTCGCAGTTTATGAGCGGCATCGCGCTCGAGGACTGCCAGCTGGTGCATTTCGAGACGAGGGGGCGGGAGGCGCCGCGTCTCGAGGTTGCCGTGCCGAGGGCGAGGCTGGAGAGGCTGTGAATTCGGACGCGCGGGAACAGACCGGGCTGTCTGCTGCGTTTTTCTCAAGTATATAAAAGTTGTGGTTTGCTGTCAACTCGGGTCAAATGGTTGGCGCGGCGAGAGTACACGCTGCGCAGATGATTAGTTGGGCAGGGAATTGGCCTTGGTGCATGGCAATGCATGGTGGGAGTAGAATCGCTATGCTCCAACAGGGGTCGTTGGCGGCATCGGAATAAAAAGAACAGCAGAATAGAAATAAAAATAAAAATAAAACTCCAACCCAATTGTCGTCTTCGGCACATGGGCCTCTTTGAAAGATGAGTCATCCCTGTCACCGAGGGCTGAAGCGACGGTTAGCCGCATTTTCACGTATACAACAAGTCAATCTATTTTTCTCCTCGCCGATATAGAACGAAACCCCCCCGGGTATCAACAGAAAAGCATCCCCGTCCCCGTCATGGGTGTTGAAAATGACACAAGCAGCAGGTTGGACAATCTCTCCGCCGCCTCGCTCCAACCCGGTGAGAACCCGTACTCGGCCTTCATCAACGCCTGCCACGACGATCCCGTCAGTCAACCCTTTCTCTCCTCCTCACCCCCCCTTTTCTTCCAACGGCACCTGACGTCTCCGTAGGCCGAGATCCAGCTGCTCTACTCTGCGCACCGTACAAGGCGAAACGCCGCGCAAAGGGACAAGTTCCTCGCCCCCGACTTCGCCGGCCTCTCCATTGACCAGACCCTCCTGCGGCTGGAGCGTGCGCACGTCGAGCCCGGCTTCGAGGACGAGCGCAACTGTCTGGTGTTTTGGGCGCGGCCGCCCGACCACGTCGAGCGGCTGGCGGCCAAGTTGCAGCATCTGCTGAGGAGAGCTGCCCCGGGTTCGTCTTCTTTCCGCCAGCAAGAAAATCCACGAGCCCCCGGGCTCTCGAGGCTGACCACTGTTGAAAAGGGATATGGCTGATGCCCACGCACCGGATGCACATGACGACGCTGGAGGTGGCCTTTTCCAAGACCGCCGCGGAGATGGGGGGACTGGTGTCCGCGCTGCGGCCCAGCATCCCGGGCATCGTGTCGTGGACGCACCTCCACCGCGCGCGGCTCGTCAAGCCCATGGTGTCGTATGACACGTCTGCCTTTGCTGTGTCTTTCCTGCCGGCGTCGGGGGAGGAGGCGCTGTCGCCGGGCCCGACGCGCCCCGACGCCCCGGCTGACGATGTCGTCCAGGGCGACGGGTACACGTATCACCACCTCCGGCGGGACGTGTTTGGCAAAGTCTGCGAGGCCGGGGTGCAGGTCGGCTCGCGCTACCAGGTGCCCAGCGCTCACGTCACGCTGGGCCGGTTCTTGGACGAGGCCGATCATGACACGCCGGAGAAGAGGGCCGCGTGGGTGGCTGCTGTTGACGACGTGAACGCCTGGTTGGAGAGGGAGGTGTGGGACAGGAAGGACGCCGAGTATATCGGTGAATGGGTCGTTGGCCACGAGAAGGGCTTGGATGCGAGGACTGGCACGCTGTGGTATGGCGGTGGGAGGACTATTTTGCTGGGCGAGGGATTCTAGACTACACACATTTTATTTGCGACGGACCGGCATAGACAGACGAGTAACTTGTAACATGGTACGACAACAAACGCGTTGCGACGAGTGGATTGTCATGCGTCGCTGCGAGTGTCTATCGACTTCGGTTGGCCCCTTGCGTTTTGGTTCATCTCGTCGTCATCACATAGATTCTTCGCCCCATGGCCATCCTTTCGTCGCAATTTCTTGACACAGAATTCTCCATTTTTTGTTTTTTCATTCATTCCCTATGAACCATCCCCCCTAAAACTGAGGACATGTACCCTCCTTTCGCCAGCGTCCATGATAGCCCCGAATGCCGCAAGGATAACCATAAGAAATTGAGCGAGCCCAACATAATGCACTTAGAACACCAGAGCCGCACCCTTCGTCTTCTTGTCACCACTATGTCGCTGTCAGTATATCCGCGTCCCCGGGTGTTGAAGCAAAAAAAAAATTGTGAAAGGAAGAAGGGGAACAAAAAAACGTACCCCAACTCAAAGTGCTTGCATCGCTTCAGGGCCAGCTGGCACTTGGTCTTGCACTTGACGCACTCCAATCTCAGGACGACCTTCTTGGTGGTCTTGGCCTTCTTGTGGAAAACGGGCTTGGTCTGACCACCATAACCGCTCTGCTTTCGGTCGTAACGGCGCTTACCCTGGGCGAACAGCGAGGCCTTGCCAGCCTTGTACTGGGTGACCTTGTGCTGGGTGTGCTTGCGGCACTCCTTGCCCTTGCAGTAGGTGTTTCGGGTCTTGGGAATGTTGACCTAATTGCAGAGAAAGAAAAAATACATGTCAGCCGCTGCCGTAACCGAATTTGCCCACATCTGATCAAAGTCTAGATTCATCGGGGGGTAAATGCGAAATGCCACCGGCCCGCGCAAGAAAAGACAGTTGTCGAGACGAGAAGTGTTTCGCAAAAAAATATAGGGCGCTCATGGAAAATGCTGTATTCCGTGGGCAAACATTGCCCAACCGCGGCTGGGAGGCATCGTGCTCCTCCCCAGCCGCTGCCATCAGAGAAAGAATGTATCGGTCGGAGAAACTGTCATTCGTGCGGCGGTGGGCAAAACTCGTACCATTCGATAGATGAATCAAATCGACTTGTCGTTGGAGCGTGCAGAGTTGGGTAGAAGAGCATTTGAGAGACCTACCATCTTGACGACGTTGTGCGGGTGTCGTTATTTGGGTGTTTGGTGATGCTGAAGTTGCGAGGCCACAATGGAAATTTGGTAGGTTTTGGTGATTTCTCGCTTTGTGGGAAACTAGGGTAAACGTCCGCCCCTGATTGGATGTATTTGAGAGGGTGGGCCCGCGACCACTTTTGATGCCTCAATTCCCGGGTGTGCACTCAGAGTCTTGGGAGCTGCCCCGCAATTATCCTGAACTGGTTGTCCGCAGCGCTGCTGCAAGCCCGATAAAAAGGACAAAAAGGACAGCTTGGGGGTTAAGACATGCCGACTGAAAATACTAAAATACGAATACTACTTGAATTTTGAATAAGGCTCAAATTTTCTTTGTCCCCATATCTTCTTTATATAAATTACATGTCAATTCGAGTTTTCCAAGGCGGCACCTCCAGTAAGCTAAAGCAGCACTGCGGCAGCTTCCCAAAACAGTTAGCTCAGCTTCATCACAGTCAACTGCCCAAACCCCCTGGCGCAACCAGCGCACCCCACTATGAGCTGGAAGGCCAACAAACGCATGCCTCCATCGCCGAGCCCAACAAAGGTGACAAGACAATACCATAGCAGTCGCTCATCATGGATCCCTATTCCGCAGAAGGTGAATTGATCAATATTCACAACCATTTCCACCAAGGCCAATACCAGGAAGTCGTCGATTTCGATACCTCGTCCTTCTCCGCCGACAATGCTCTCCCCGCGCGCGTCCTAGTCCTGCGGGCTCGCATCGCACTTGGTCAGGCTGAGGATGTCGTCGCAGAGGTCAAGGGTGCAGGGCAGCCAGATCTGGAGGTCCTTGGCGCCTATGCCGAATATTCCCTAGGCAAGACTGATGCTGCGCTGAAGACCGTTGAGAAGCTGGCTTCCTCGGCGGCTGACAACGTCACCGTTCAGGTCGTCGGCGGAACCGTCCTACAGGCTGCCGGCAAGTCAGAGGAGGCCATTGCTCTGTTGTCACAACATCAAGGAAGTTGTATGTCTTGGGAGCTGCTGGAGAGCCATTAATTGAAACGTTGACGCTTACTCGGGGAAACAGTGGAAGCCGTGGCCTTGATTATCCAAATCCACCTCCAGCAGAATCGAACCGACCTCGCCGTCAAGGAAGTCTCCGCTGCGAGGAGATGGGCACAGGACAGCTTGTTGGTGAACCTTGCCGAGTCCTGGGTTGGGCTTAGAGTGGTCAGTGATGTCTTGTTACGCGAAGCCACGCGGAAACGCGACATGAAGCTGACTAGGTCGTAGGGCGGTGAGAAATACCAGCAGGCATTTTACGTCTACGAGGAGCTCGCCCAAGCTCCGTCAACAGCCTCGATACGGAGTCTCGTCTCGCAGGCCGTTTGCGAACTACACCTCGGTCGTTTGGAGGAGGCGCAAACTGCCCTGGAGCAGGCATTGGACAAGGACCCGGAGTACATTGAAGCCATTGCGAATATGCTGGTTTTGACTGTGATTTCCGGCGGAGATGCATCAGATTACGCTGCGTATGTTCAACATTGTCCCAAGATGTTTATAGTACTAACCGGAGCAGGTCGCTCAAAACGGTTGACCCAAACCATGCGCTGCTGGTTGATTTGGAGGCAAAGAGCGACTTGTTTGACCAGGCGGCGACCAAGTATCGCGCAAAGGTGTCTTCGTAGGGATGTTTTACAGGATTGGTTTATATGGGCATAATGATAGGCGCACATGGCCGCGACGATTAGAAGTATTGAAACAATAAAAAGTACTCGTCCTGAAGATGGCGCTTCATGGCACGCGGCAGTTGGCACAACGAGCATCACGGTAACTCTTTTCTTTTCTTTTCTATAACCACATGATATTCAGAATAGATGCAAAAATGTTCCCATGCCCCATGTCCAAATGCAACTCGTATGGTATGTGCCAATCTAGTCTAGGGTAGCAGTTATGTCAAAAATGTGTGGAGGAAGTTGTGACTCTTCATCGGTTTGTTCGTCAAAGAAATCATCCAGGTCCGACATGGCTCGTTCCAAAGGCGATAGCGTCTGACTGTGTCTTTTGTGAGAAGATGTAACTACCGTGGTTCTGGAATGTCTAAACTAGGATGTCCTCAAAGTCAGTGACACAATGACTCCGCTTGCGGTTTTTCGTATGGGATCGGATCTAACCTGGAACTGGGTTCGTCCATCACCAATTTTTGGCCATTTCGTCCCGGAACTTCATGTTCTAACTCGTCATCCGAGATAGCCAGATACGATCGAACGTTATTCTAAAACGCCCTCACCTCTCCTGGATCCCGCTGGATGAATGAAACTTCACCCCCATCTGACTTCTTCATTGCTCGGTGCTCTCTGGATTCAGACTTCTGCCTAGCATGCCCTGGACCACCGCTTATTTCTGTTGAAAAATCAGGTACCGATGGCCGATATGATTGCCTGACTACCGACGTGTTTGTTCTTTGATGTTCTGTTGATGACCGCCTTTCAAGGTCTAGGCACCTAGCCAGGGGCGCACCGGTGAAATAGTCCTTGTACTGGAGATATGTTAACGAGTACTCTTCGATTTCACTTGCCCCGGAAGCACTGTGATTGTAGCTCTGTGGCTGATGACAACTTGATAGCGAGCCTGCGGAAAGATCGTGTGCCATGTCGACGGCGTTGCTTCGTGGGGACCATGGCTGGGTGCTGGACGAGGACTCTAGCCAAGCGACAATGGATTTGACTGAGCGGCAGCCGCTTCCGTCGGGGACAACTTTGAGCGGGGTCTGTATGTCATGTTGGGAATTTGTAGATGGAAAACTGCTAGAGGGCGGTTTGACGGGTTCTCGTGTGTTGATTGTGCCCATGCTGATGCTTGGTGATAAGGGCAGGTCACAATTAAGGTGCTTGAATGTGTGGGACGAAAAGGAAAAACTTCGCTTCCCACCAACAGCAAGAAACTCGAGAAACTTGTCTTTCGTATTGTTTACAAGCACAGGTTCTGTCACGTTTATAATGTTGTTAGTGCCTAAAAAAACGACTGCTGCCAGCTGGCATAACAGTCCCGGTGAATAGAAAACGGAACCAAGTGCACAGGGTCCACCTCCCACGGTATAATTCAGAAAAGAAATATGTATATTTGTTCAATTTCCTTTGCTGTTGATGAAAATTTTACTCCCTCTATACCCAGTCTATAGGCTCCCACGTTGCTCCCCAAACTTTTCTTTTCAAAACCCAGTTGAAGGTTTCTCTTTCAGCGTTTAAACTCGTTTGGCCCAGCCTTTCGCTATAAATGAAGTCGTGGATGAACATTTCATCTTGTGTCTTTTTTGTTGTTGGTTTGCTTTCACAGCCCCCTAGCAAGCATCTTACTTCTTGTTAGGGAACTTGGGAGCGCCAATGTCAGCGCCACGCAATTTGACGTTCAGGACACGCTCCATGGACCCGAGAACCTTTTGATCGGGAGTGGCAGTTCCTCGTTCGAAATCAGCGACAATGCCCTGAGTGGTGTTGCATCGGGTGGCGAGATCCTTCTGTGTCATCTTAGGCTCCATCTTTTGTCTGGCGGCAGAGATGGTGTCGCCAACCAGCTTGCCGACAGTGTTGGGCTTGATGATCTCGTCGGATCGGTCGACCTTTGTCAGGCGCTGACCTTCAGCACCACCGGCAGTCTGTTGAACGCAACTGTTAGTTGAAAACATTTCACTATTTGAGAAGAATTGCCACCTGCGTGGCTTGGACATGGCGAGGTGAACTCTATGGCAGGTACGCCATCACTCGCACCTATTCTTCTCGAGGAGCATCGCAGAGTATACGTACAGCGTTAGAAGAAGCATACTTCTTCTCAGTTCCGATAACAGCGCCGCTTCGTGCAGCAGCGTTTAAAGCACTCTTTCCACGGATGACAGTCTCGCGCTCCGCGGCACCAGGGCCACGGGCCTTGCTGCCAATCTTGGTGACTTGATCCCAGTCAGACATGGTGATGATTGGTGGAGTGATGGGTTTGCGAAGACGGTGAAAAGACGGCTTCAAAAAATAAGAATAAAAAGGCAGCGTGCGATTCGGAGCTGCGTTGATTCAATTATCCAGAATGGATTCAGATGCTTGGTATGTATAGGTCTGCGTTACGAGAGAAGTCTTGTCTTCTGGTTGGGAGAGTGAAATATATGGGGATGATGAGCGCATGAGGCGGATTTGAGTCAATCGGCGAGGTGGAGATAAAGGCCTTCGTGGGGTTCACTGGACAAAGGCTGTGCGTGCAAAGTCGGCACGAAGCGCCACCTTTCTGGCCTGTCTCTAGCACATTCCACGGGGAGCCACACACACGCCTGGTGCCAAGTACCGAGTCAGGTGGGGCAGTCGCTTACCTAAGACGAAGAGACAGGACATCCACGGCTGTGGTTGTTCCGCCCCTGGCAGTTCAATGTTAATGACGACATGCCAGGCCTTCGGTGGATGACTAACATTGAATCGACTGTATTTGGTGTGTATGGAGCGTTGAACGTGCTGAAATCCATTTTTGCCAGGGCGCACGCCACTGTCGTGTCGGACCATCTCGGCACCTGCAGCGCGGTTTGACCACTTTGGCTGTGCTACGGTCTGGTGTCTGCACATCATGACATCTTGAAGTACCTTGATGGCTCAACAGCGTGATTGATGAACTCGTGGCCCGCCTTTTCGACGAGAACAGCATACATACAGTAATCTCCTCTTCCATCCTAACACCCTCTTTCTTTTGCTGCCTTCCATAAACACACAGCCCCGTTGGGGTTGAGTGCGGCGGTATTGCCGTGATCCAACCTCGTGTCCGCTCCTTACCATGGACGGAGTGTTTGAAGACTCGTCATGGCCGCGAATAATTCGAATCCTTGATGGCGCAGATCACATCTTTCACCATGGAACACGCGTATTTCTCGCGTCTGCTTTTATTCTACTGTATTATACGTTAATGGGAGGTTGGCTGGACCTACTTCTCGGCGCCGTCGCTATCGGCTTTGGACATCGCCATGCTCTTCTGACGTTTGCAATCTTCTTGGGAAAATTCTTGTATACTGGCCTCATACCGATTGCTGGAGCAGTTGCTATGGGTCTCTTGTCGGTTTCTCACCTCCTAAAACCGATTAAAAATTTGAAGGGTCCTGCACAGCCGTATCTGATACCCTGCAAGACAACTCACACGCGGCTATTCCCCAAGAATCATTCATTTGGTTATTCATATTTGGTCGTGGGAGTTCCTGTGGGAAGTACTGGTAATGTCAATGGGATGTTGATGATTGATGATCAATCTTATAGCTCCTGGGACTTGATGTACAAGTTGTTTCGAGGAGGATGGTACACTGTGAATGATGCCGATTATATGCAGAGGGGGCACAACGCTCATGGGCTCCGAGGCAAATTGGACGAATACCTCAAGTCTCAGGTGAGGCTTCATAGCATACCAATAATGAAAACACATGCTAAGAAGAAATAGGGTGTCGAACCGTCTGCCTATCCGCATGCCTACCTGGTCACGGCTGCAAGGTTCCTGGGTTATCACTTTAATCCGGTTTCGTTCTGGTATCTGTACTCCGAGGACAGGATATTGTCTGCTATTGTGCTTGAAGTAAATAACACGTTTGACGAGAGACGCCCATATCTTGTCCTTCGCGACTTCTCGCCTGATTCCCAGTATCTCACTGGACCAAGGTCTGAGGACACTCCGCTGTCTCGCGTCAAAGGCTCATGGGCGAAAGATTTCCATGTTTCGCCCTTCAACTCGCGAAAGGGAGCCTACTCATTAATTGCTAGCGATCCACTTGGTCCTGGAATGGAAGGTTTCCGGGGCATTGATGTTACAATCAACCTAAACTCATCGAAAGGCCATACCAAGCTGGTTACCAGGCTTTTTTCACAGGGAGAAGCTATCGACCCGGCTGCCATGGGCCGAGTAGCCAAGATGAGGTTCCTTTTAACGTGGTGTTGGGTTGGATTTGCAACCTTCCCACGGATTGTCAAAGAAGCTGCAGTACTTTTCTTCAAGCGCGAGCTTCATGTATGGTATCGACCTGAACCGCTGAAAGAAAGCCTCGGAAGGCATGCGACAAAGACAGAACGACAACTTGAGGCTGCCTTCCGCCGTTACCTGAAATTTCTAGTTGAGCAGTGCCAGAAACCAATGTCGATCAGGTATGTGTCGAGTGGGATTCTTTCAAACTCCGAGGAGACATTCACGTCACCTCCTTGGCATGATTCAGTCGAAGACAGAAGGCTGTTAGAGCTGAAGGTTCTCACGCCGATTTTTTATACCCGCTTTGTGCGTTATGCGCATGACTTCGAGGCTATATTCACCGAGTTCATGGATAGTGCTACCATCTGGGTGAGCGAGCCGCAGCTGTTGCCAGACTTGCTTTTAAAGAAGGGGTCTCCGCCTCTGCAATCTGCCAGTCTGATGGACTACCTGTTCTTCAAATCTATAAAGTATTTGCGACGTCGACCAGAGAAGATTCCGAGCGTTTTAACGTCTGCGGAAACCAAGGCGGATGAAGCGTCGACTGTTGATATTCGAGACTTACGGATGTCCTCCATGGATGCTTACATCCTCGAACATGCTCAGCCGACCTTGAAGGCAATATACCGGTCCACCTTACTCCGCTTGTTTGTCGCTGACCACTTCGCTCTGGGCAACGTGGCTTTTCTGGACGTCTGTATCCTCCTCTGGAGAATTGGAATTGCTTGGGCTTGTGCGGCAACATTGAAACAGACGGCAAACGCCGTGAGGTGACGCACCGAGCACTAGTACCGACGCATTGAGACAGAACGGGCCGGGCCCGAACGTTGCACAAGCATGGACCTCTGGCACAAAATAGACTCATCGAGGGCAAGGTGATTCGGCGGCTGGGGGAAGCACGCCGCAGTGTGCATGTTGTCGATCCTGACCGCACATGCAAAAATGAGACCTCAACTGGTCTGTGCAGCAGATATGGAAACAATGGGAAGCGATGGTCAGCTGACAATTGCACACATGCTTCGCCGCCGCGTGGCCGCCGGCGTGGTTTTGCAACCCAAGGTACGCGACCAGGATGAATTCCAAATTCCCAAACCATACCTCGTACTCCTCCGTAACTAAACTGACAGCCGCCTCCGTTTCCCGCTGCCCCGCCGGGAAAAAAGGCTAACGTCCACAGAAGCATCTCCGCACCGCCCGTTGCCCATGCAGTCGACAGGTATACCGATCACGGCATCGAAAATGACAAATTCATATCTCCGGCTCGGCCGCGGGGGCCAGAGAAACGAAATTGACATTCTATTGTTCCAAATATTCCGGACGGCATGTGCTTTGTTCTAGGGAACGAAACAATACCATCACCCCAGCGAAGTACCACAGCCGAGTCAGTCACCAGAACACAAATACTACCGGAGAAACGCCCGTCGTACCCATCTATCCTCGTTTGTACCGACGAACGATGAAAACGAAATCACCTCTTACCTCACGGGAGAATGTCACAAGCGCCACCGGCAATTCAAATGGCACAGCCCAACGAACCTGCACATCAACTCCACAAAACGACTGAACAAAGCGAAAATGCAATTGGCATCCACACGCTGGGAAACTCCCACGTCACCTGCCCCACCAGAGCTTCTTGCAACTAGGAGCTCAGCTATTTCCATCGAGCTCGACTACGAACGGAGGAGTACTATCCATCCCCATGAGACAGTCTAGCCTATCAAGTCGTCACTTACCCCACCATGAAAGCAAGCCGTCGACAGTATAAAGAGTCGAGAACAGGTCGCAGGGAACGCCCCTCTGCTCTTTCCATCTTTCTTCAAAGCGTTACAATCCCTAGACGCTCGATTCAATCTTGACATTTCCAAGACAGGCCAGAACACGACATTGCCCAACATGCCTCTCACCGGACACTGCCTCTGCAAGGCCGTCACATACTCCGCCGACGTCGAGGCTCCCATCATCACGGGCTACGACCACTGCGACGACTGCCAGCGCCAGAGTGGTTCCACCTACTGTACGTGCCGATTCCCACAATCAACCCGGATACGGAGCCCCCGTTCTCCCTCCGTCCCTCCTCACAACCCCCCGTTTTCAAACCCTCACTGACCAAACTGCAGCCCTCGTCGCCGTCGTCCCCAAAGACAAGCTCACCATCAAAGGCCCCATCAAGAAATGGACCGGCAAAGGCTCCTCTGGGAAAGACGTCCATCGCCTTTTCTGCTCCGAGTGTGGCTCCCCCATTGCCCATGACCCCGATGCTGCTCCCGAGATCATTGCCCTCAAGGCCGGTACTTTGGACTCTGAACTGAAGAAGAACCTGAAGCCGGTAAGTTATAGTCTCGCCCCTCATTTATGGTCTAGATAGATGTTGTAACGAGCTAATGCATTCTAGGACACTGAGATTTGGACTGTTGGAAAGTTGCCCTTTTGCCAGGAGCACTTGGCCAAGCCTTTCAAGCACATGCCCGAGTAATGTTGGCATTTCATTCATGTATCGAGACGGCTGAGGTGATGATGTAATGATAAAGCTTAAAAAACAATTGAGAAGATGGCAGCCAAGAATTGGCAAGACATACCTTGCCCCCGACGTCCAAGTAAATCGCGACCCGCAGATGTGAAACTGACTTGTCTGGAGACATCTCTGGAGGTTAGCTTGCGCAATACCGAAGCCGCCCACATTGTGCGAGGCTCAACGTTGATGCCTTAGGGCAATGATCACAACTAGGAACTCCCACATGTCGCGAAATGAAAACAAACATGTTAGTATCAACATGAAAGTGGTATTATTCCTTAATAGACAGTACTGATACCATCCAAGCTCTGTACCATTGCCATTACCCATTACCCCGTCTCGTCATTATCATAATCAGCACGTTGCAAACCCCTAAACATTCCACTATTCTATTTACAAAGCGAGAACCAGAGCAGCCCCCGCAATAGCCATTGCCATGCCGGTTCCTTGTGCTGGGGCACCGCCGGTAGAGGTAGATGAGGATGGCCTCGTAATGCTTGCGTTCTCAGACACGGATCCAGATCCGGTCCGCGATGGTGTATTCTTGTTGCTGTTGCCACTGGTGTTCGAAGCCGTCAGGTTAGTAGCAGAGGGATGCGAGACACGGGTGGCCGTGGCAGCACCACCAGTAATGGCTCCAGGGCCTTGAGGACCGGTAGCTGTATAGTATAGGCTAACGTCCGTCTTGCCCGGGAACTTATCCAAGGAAATGGTATCGCCGGTGGTGACAAAAGGGGCGTCGCGGGTATTGGCCTGGACAGAAGAGAAAATGGCCGAAAAGGGCGCCGTGGGAGTGCCTTGGCAAAGAGAGTCAGAAGCAACAGAAAGAACTCTTTCCCAGTAGACGTGATCGCGAGCACTGCGGAATCCATGGACGAAGAGACAGTTCTGGCAACCACGCCAATCCACAAAGTAGCTGCCCTGGCACATGCACTGAGCGTGAGCATTGAAGTCGATGGACTCAGTGCCATTGGGCTGGCAAGCAGACTCGATATTGGAGATGGAAATGCAAGGCGGGACTACCCCGGAGCCATTGACTTCAGGATAACAGACCTTGGCCGGGTTGCCCATACCCTTGCCATCAGTACCGTCACGCATAACCGTGCGTGAAGCTGTGGCAGGGAGCAAGAGGGCCGTGGAAACCGTGAGGAACTTGAGGCAGTGCTTCATGATGTAGAAAGTAATGAGCTTTGTGGGTTGACGGGTAATTTGTGAGCGTCCAAGATAGATGAAGTAAGAATGAGCAACAAAAAAAGCAAACTGAAATCAATGCTTGCGGGAGAGAGCGGTAAGATGCAGTGGTGTGAAAGAGGAGAAGAGAAGAGAAGGATTCAGCAAAAAAAGAGCACGAGGTGTATCAAAATTGACGAAGCTCTACCGAGCAGGTCGGCACTTTCCATTCTAAGTGATGGCAAGCAACCAGCCATTGTGCCCTGTCCCAGCTAGGACTACTTCTTGGGTGCTCCTGCAGACGAAGATGGGATTGACCAGCAGCAGCGGATATCATGTCTTGGCGTCGTCTAGCTTACTGCAGGCAGGTCCGGTTTGGGAAACATGGAGATGATTCAACCCCAAACGGCAAGAGAGTCCAGAAGGCCAACAGGGCAAAACGCAGGTGGGAGAGTACATATGGATTATGCATGAGCGCCAAGAAATTAAAGCTTGCATCGGACATTTTATACAGAACAAATGTATCGAATGGGGTGATTACCCAGTGTTCTGAATAAGGGCTCCATCACGCTGTCTCCGTATTATACACAAATGGTGTCAGATTCCATGATGATGGAGACGAGGAGTGAGGTTTGAAGCATGAGTCAACTTCAAATACCCACTATCTACTAGGTGCCTTGGATATTTAAAGGAAAACACACCTGCTCGGTACCTGGATGGACCGCACCAGCCAAAGCCGTGCATTCTAAGGCTGTATCTACTCAAGTACCTAAGTACTCAAGGAACTGGTACAGTTAGTACTTGACCAAATAGTGCCACCAACTGGGTGCAATGTGTCTAGCTCCATACTGCAACAATGCGATGCGGGACCTTGCATCTGGGTTCGGGTCTGTCGCCCGGATCGTCGTATCCACTGCACTGCCCATCACGGCTACATACTGTACTTTATGTATCATCACCAAGATAATCCAGTGTGAGTTTACAGGTAGTCATTAACAAACACAGTGTTTGGTGGTCATGATATAAAAGCCCAGTACAATTTTCTATAGTCCGTTCTATGGCTCGTCTTCTATTGGTATCAAGTCATGGCTCTCGTCGAATCTGTCAATATCTCATATCTCATATTTGCACCCGCCGTTTCGCATTTTCATCTCCAGTCTATCAATTATTCCTCATGTTCAGTGAGTTACCACCCAAAATTCAATAATAAAGACGCCGTAACGACCAACATCCACGATGCAGAAGTCCTAATGGCGGTCTTCCTGGCAGGCGACTGATCCGGCGCCTGCTTCTGTATTTTGCCAGTTTCTGTGGCTCCAGCCGTGAAACAGCTGGCTGTACCACAAGAGTACCCAGACGGGCAGCAACCGGCCATGGGGCCGGCATTTTGTCCACACATAAACCATCCGTCAGCACATGAAGAGCTTCCCGTAGGATTTGGCAAGTCTGTGGCAGGAACGACAATGGTAGCTCCGTTGGAGACCAAAGTCGTGGAAGACGGAGCCGGGCATGAGTACGTATGGCAGTCGCGGTCAGTTTGACAGCACCCTCCACCATGGGTGGCAAGGCAGCCATAGAAGCCTGTTGGGCAGCCGGACTGTGTGATTGACGTGCTCTCGGGAGCTGACGTGATTTCAGAAGAACCTGTTGGTCGCCAAGGAGGATTTCCTGTGGCAGAATCGGTCTTCGTGTTAGTACCAACGCTGGTGCTTGTGCCGGAAGGTGTGATATTTTGTGTGGTAGTTCTTGTCGTCGCTTCCGGCGAAGCAGTTTGAGTAACTGTTACGATGACTGTGGTCGGACTCCCTCCAATGATTGTTGTTTTCGTCGATGTGGCGGTTTCTTGCGGCTGGGACGGTTGGATAGGAGTCGCCGATGCGCTTGGAACGCCTGCATAGCTATATTAGCATGCAATTCTGAGTTGAGAGGACGAGCAGAGGAGGACTTACAGCCTACACCTTGGCAAACATATCCTGGAATGCAGCAACCGCCGCCCAAAGCCGCTGCACAACTTGCCGCGCCGGACGGACACGATCCAACTCCTCCGCCGCATGCTGAGCCATTAGGGCAACAAGCGACATGGCCTACGTCAGTGTCGGGCACATCAGTGCAATAAGTTCCTTGCTGGCAGCATTTGTTGGGCGATCCCTGCTGAGCACAGCTGTTCATCCCGGAAGGACATGATGATCTCCTTTCCAACAAGGCCAGAGCTTCTGCTGCACGCCGCAACACATTATCTTCGGTTTCGCGGATGTGTCTTACGAAAGGCGGGTAGAATCGAGAAGTGCCGTCGACGTTTTGATGTGGTTCATCCGACGGTGCGTCGAAGGAAGATACAACTCCTGGCTCAACCTGGAGGAGTGGCGCAAATGCCAGATGTTCTCTTAATATTTTTTCGCCCGAGCCTGGAGACTGCTTCTTGATAGCGATTGGAAAAGGTCGATTATCTGCAAGAGCTTGTGAGACGAAAGCTATAAACGAGGCAGGAAGTAGGAGCAGAGTAGACGCTGGGGCCATTGTCGTGGCATTCGGCTATACGCCGTCCAGAAGATGCAGAGCGTGAGTCTGAATGTCGCTCGAGCCGTGATATGTATTAAATAACTGTGCCTCCAATGCTGTAAAATAGAGCGATGCAAGATCTACTGTGTGCAGGACGTTTGTAACGGTGGTGTTGGGCTGATCCGAGATGCACGCGAAACCAGTTTTAAATAAACAAAAAACGGTGGCTGGGGAAACCAGCATCACGGCAGACGCGGGCCAAGCCACGACACAACCCAGGGTGGATGAAAAATCCTCTGCTAAATGACATGGCAAAGAAACTTAAGGTGCTCAAGGCTGATTCATGTTGTATGCATCTGCGCCAGATATTGAAGCTCAAAGTGTCCTGGGCTCTCTTAATTGATCCTCTGGAATGTTGCACGGGCGCCACGTCGGGCCAACATAGAGCTGACAACATTAAAGAGCCTGACCCCTCTGCAGTAGGGGTTTGGTTACATTGACTAAGTACTTTATGTACGTCGGTGACCAATCAGTGGGCCGTTGGGTGATGTTTGGTACATGTGTACTCCGTACTTGGAAACGAACAATGGCGGCCATGGGCCTCTTCTCAGGGTTGTGAACTTGTGACAGCAGATTTAACGCTGTTCGTGCTCTACAAATGTCATTTACTGCCCGCCTATAGGTTGGCATCTCTGGATTGGAAAATGGGCCAACAACACCCGGCTTATTGAGTTATTATCAGGTAGGTAAAGTGGTTGTTATACAGGAGCTGTACAAGATTAATGTAATATATAAAGGTATGGTGAGCTTTTCTATCCCAATACTTATCAGAAGAGAGGCTCGCTTGTTTCTTCAGCCACGTTCCTCTTTGGCGAATGTGCTTCGGGGATTTGGTTCACGCGGTTCTTGTTCCTCGCCGAGCCCTTCACAAATGTGTGGCAGAGTAATCCAGCAGCAACACTAACGTTTAAACTGTCCACAGAGCTTCCCTGGACAAATCGGGGCACCGAGAGCTCAAAATCCGCAGCAACCTTGATTTGTCTCGGTAGACCATGCCCCTCATTCCCGAGCACCAGCACACAAGGGTGTTGATCCAAGGGGCTCGTCTGCTCCACAAAGTCCGTCGATATGAATTTGTCGCCATGAATCTTGAGCAGTTTCGACTCTGGGGGCGCCACTGCAGCATAAGTCTTCCAGCCCGCCGCTCTGGAACCTTCCAGGAACTCGACTGGCGAATCGACTGTGAATATGGTGACTTCTTCGGCTGCCCCTGCCGCCGACTTGAGCACCACAGGTGTCAGTGCTGATGAGTTGCGGCTAGTTATTCCGATAGCGTCAACGCCCATGTAGCTTGCAGTACGGAGTAGAGCACCGAGATTTCCGGGATCCAAAATTTCATGCAAAAGAAGTACAAGTGGCTTCATCGCAGAATTATTCGCTTTGGGCACAAATGTATTCTCTCCATTGATGGCCTTTTGTTCCATGGTTTGATGCACAAGCTCGATATGGAACCCCAGCTTAGAGGGCGACTCTTCCAAGCTGCCTAGGGCTTTCACAGGTAGCTGCGGTAGAGGCGATGTCTCCAAAACAAATCCGTTGTGTGGGCGGCCCATGCTCATCTTGTCCATTAATCGCTGGTCTTCGTTAGGCACAATAGTAACGGGGACACCGCGAGCCTTCGCCAGGTTTATTATGACGTCGTTGTCATCGACGCCTCTACGGTTCTCTCCGCCGTAAACGTATAGCTTGTAGAGTTGGCGCCTTCCTTGTTGCAGCGCTGCCTTGACAACGGATCGTCCGTATAGGAATTGTGATGCCGCAGTAGTATATGTGATAGTCATAGGCAACATGCCGCGCCTTCTTGGCTTCGCTATGGCATCCTCGATAGGGCCATCTTCGCGGTTTTCTATCCGTGGCCGTCGTTTTTGCGGGTTTTGCGGGCTTTGAGGCCGTGAGTAGGATTGTAAGTCTCGAGAATTTCGCCGAGGCAATTTGTCGTTCCCGTGGAAGTGTCGCGGCCGAACCGGTTGCTCCAAATCTAGCGAGGCAGCTGTATCCTTCAGCAGGCCATGTTTCAATTGATATACCAGACTTCTTTTCCCAAAAGAGAATTCCGGATCCAGAAACCGCTTCCTCCTGGTCTGCCTGCCAACGTCGTCTTCGTCACCAATTTCTGAAGCTTTGCGATCAAGCTTCTTCCGAAGTTTTTGCTGTTGCCGTTTAGAGGCAGCGCCGTCTAAAGCCTTCGTTGTTCGCCCAATTCGGCTAAAGCTGTGACTTCTGTCATCGTGCGTTGCCGTCCAGGAACGAGACTCGCCAAATTGCGCTCGTTCGGATCGTTTTAGCCCTCGATGTATAGAGGATAGACTTGCGCAGCGGACAAACTGGGGGACAATGAGCGCTGGGATGTTATGTAACGATTGACGCAGCATGCAGCGTTGACCAGCAGCTGGCCATCTTGCTGCGCTTATCATGGCATTATACGCGACTGTAATAGTCCGCCGCGTTAGCCCAAATGTAATACGTGAGAGTACGAAGCATGTGACGAAATTTGTCTCCAACGCGACCGAGTGAGGCTCCTTCCTCTTTTTCTGCCGCCAATTGCAGGGGTAATGAAGGCGGTAAGGACTAATAGGCGTCTGTGATTGGCTCCAAGCCAAGCCCAACAAGTCGCCATGAGTCCATGAATCCACTTGAGTCGCGTCGAAGTTACTTATTTAGCATTAGAAACCGCGAGCCACGACATTTCCTTCTCAGAGCATGAGAACCAATCCGATTTTGGTAGGCCTACGGAACCGCAGTAGGTCAGAGATCCGAAAGAAGGGTGGAGGACTCTGGACCTCATCATCCATCTCCTTATCGTCATTGCCTGTGGATCGACGACAGGCTACAAATGGAGGATGGCGATGACATATTGCCTAATGGCCAACAGGCAGTAGGCTTGAGCCATGATAACCATGTATCACAGGAGAAATTCTCTTTTGACTTTTCGACTAACCGATCTGGCTATGGGAGTTCATCAGAAGATGACTCGTATGGCTTGATGGTGTCCGATTTACCTTCTCGGCCGAATAAGAACCCGTCCTACTTGGTGCCTGAAGCGGCAGAACACTCTGGCAACGACGCGATATCAAATATTCGAGACTCTTTGGATGAAAAGGCACGGGGCTTGGCGCCGGTAGCGTCTATGGAAGTTATCAGGCAATCATCAATAGCTGACTCGGAGATGAGGGCACCGCAGGTTGAGGAGACTGATATTACGTATCATGGCCAGAAGCTTCAGGTTTCCTTGCCTTTTATTCCGTCCGATGTCCGAGATGAATACCAGGAGGTGCATAGTAATGCCGTGGAGAGGATATTGGACCTCACGGCTTCGCCGGATGATGGAGAGCTTTTGACAGTAGAGTTAACAGACGGAACACAATGCATGGTATGTCACACAGGTTTATGGTGCTTTTTTATTGTTCCGTAATAAGCGGCCTCACATCATAACGCTCCCACTGCTTTGTTTTCGAGAGCCCTTGGAATGAAAGCCTACCCGACCTCTCACTATCGTTTCACTTCAATTTGATGCTGAGATAGCCCTACATGTATTGTTTCTCTCATCCTTGTGGATCAGGTGACAACTCATCAGCAAACGCTCACATTGACCACAAAGGCAGCTGCTTTATCCCGTCAATAGGCGGTGCAAAAATGGCATGAAGCACACCTCCAACCTACCACTGGCTCATATTGCCACTACACCTGTCGTGGCTCTTCCATTTCCGTTACATTTGCTAACGCTGCACCAAGATCCCTTTGTCGAATCTCGAAGGATTCGAAAACGGCTCGCAGTCTCTTGAAACCTATTTTATGGGAATGGAACGAACTGGGAGAAAGCGCAAGTCTGCGCCTAACGATGATTGGGAATCTGGCAGCAGCTCCAACGGTTCAGACGTCATGGACCTGGATACCGACATGGATGCGGAAGAACCCGATGAACCCATCGCAGCCACCCGCAGCCGTAGGCAACGAACTCAAGAGCCAACCACTTCGAGAAATGCGACGGAATCAAATCCAGAAACTAGTGACGACTCCGACGCTGTAATATTGGACACTCGTCGACGTAGCCTTCGAAGGAGACAGCCCAGGTTTCCGCAAGCGTCACTTCAGGAAGCAGAACACGATGGCCCCTCCAGAAGCTCAAGAGATGAAGACGGTGACGATTTTATTCTGCCAGTCGTTTCTGATATCGCCGGCACTAGACGTAGAACCAAGGGCTCTATGTTGCGATCCCGGCGACCTCCCTCCCGAAAACGCGCGTCCACACGAAGAGGTGCTGCTGACTCCGATATAGAATTTGAGCCGCCCAGGCGATCCTCCCGGGCTACGCAAAATGTCAGATATATGCAGGATGACCTCGACTTGGACGAAGACTCGTTTACTCAAGTTGAAGAGAAGCCTGGCATTCCAAAGATTGCCTCAGTCAAGGAACTTTTTCGACCTGTATCTTCGGATTCTTCTTTTGCAGCCGTACACATGAACACGTGCCATACCTGTGGCAGTGCTAACAACCGAAGCCAGATTATCTACTGCCAAGGTTGTAGTTATTCCTACCACAGACATTGCATCGGTATTCGAAGCGCGCGCGAGCATCTAGTCACGAAAGTGGGAGAAGCCAATTTCGTGTTACAGTGCCGGTTCTGTATTGAGATACACCAGAAGAAAGATCCTCTAGCCCCACGACGTTCAGTGTGCCAATCCTGCAAGACAGCAGGTCGCTCTTGCGCACCATTTTCTCAAAGGCAGACAGCCCGGCAAGAAGAGAAATTAAGAGAACAGAACGGTGGAGTCGATCCTATCACCAGTGTGCCAGATGAACTGGTCAATAATTCAAAAAATGTTCTTTTCCGCTGCACTCGCTGTAACCGAGGCTGGCACCAGCATCATTTACCCTTGATCGGTAGCCCAAGTCCTGGGCGAGAGCAGGAGATTGGAGCACTTAAGGACTACTCCATCGACTGGCAATGCAATGAATGCACTTTGGCGCAACAAAAGATCCATCGGCTTGTGGCCTGGCGAGCAGAACCCACGGCCAGCACAGCACGTCCAGCTTTTGCACAGCTCTCCGATGATGACAAGGAATATCTAGTCAAATGGGAGGGCATGTCATACTTCCACTGCACATGGATGCCAGGCGCGTGGGTATTCGGTGTTGCGGCTTCTGTAATGCGAGCGAGTTTTGCAAAGAAAGCCCTGGAAGTTGACTTATTCAAAGTTACTGAGAAGGAAGCCATTCCCGATGAATACCTGATGATCGATATCATTTTTCGGGTGAAGCTGGACTCTGCGGTAAAGAGAGCTAACTCCAGGCAAGAAGATATAGACAACCTCCCATACATCAGCAAAGTACTGGTAAAGTTCCAGGGTCTTGGGTACGATGATGTGGTATGGGACGGACCACCATCGACTAACTCGGGCGAACTTTACGCCGCCTTCAAAGTTGCATATGAAGAATATCTTGCTGGGAAGTACTTTGAGCACTCTTCGCAAAGCAGGATGAGAGAGCGTATAAAAGCATTCAAAGACAAAGAGCTCGAGGAAGTTGAGGTTCAACCAGCCGGACTCAAGAGAGGGAAACTGATGGGATATCAGTTAGAAGGTCTGAACTGGCTATTAAATAACTTTCACAGCGGGCGAAGCGTCGTATTAGCAGATGAAATGGGACTCGGCAAAACCGTCCAGGTCATCAGCTTGGTGGTGTACCTTGTGCAAGAAAAGCCCAGGGTAAGCAATCTGACACCACAGCTTTGTAAATATTCCACTGGCTAAAATATACACAGTGCTGGCCGTTTCTTATTTCGGTCCCAAATGCAACATGCCCGAATTGGCGTCGAGAGTTTAAACAATGGGCGCCGGAGCTGCGAGTAGTCACCTATCATGGGGGTCAGGAGTCGCAGGACCTCGCGTACAAGCACGAACTCTTCCCACATGGATCGCGAGAAATGGCTGCTCACGTCGTTATTATGTCTTATGACTCCACCCAGGACCCAAAAACTACTCAACGCTTCAGTTCCGTTAAGTGGGCAGGCCTGGTTGTCGACGAAGGCCAGCGACTCAAGAACGACCGCAGTTTGCTCTACCAGGCCCTGCGTGTCATGAAGATCCCTTTTCGATTGCTGCTGACTGGAACTCCGTTGCAAAACAACAAAAGAGAATTGTTCAATCTGATTCAATTTATCGACCATTCGCAGAGTGCCGAGAAACTTGACGAGGAATTCCAAGTCCTCAATAAAGAGACTCTGCCAAGGCTTCATGAAAAGATTCGGCCATATTTCTTGAGAAGGACCAAGGCCGGGGTTCTCAAGTTTCTGCCCCCAATGGCCCAGATTATTTTGCCGGTTACCATGACGGTAATTCAGGAAAAGCTCTCAAAGAGTATAATGGCAAAAAACCCCCAGCTTATCAAAGCGATTTTTGCCAACAGTAAGATGAACAAGAAGGAGCGAGGATCCCTCAACAATATTCTGATGCAACTTCGCAAGTGTCTCTGCCACCCTTTCATGTACTCTGAAGCAATTGAAGAAAAGCACGACGACCCAGTCGTTATCCATCGCAATCTCGTGGAAGCTTCGGCAAAGCTCCTGCTTCTGGAACAAATGCTTCCGAAGCTGAAGGAGAGGGGACACCGGGTTTTGATTTTTAGCCAGTTTCTCCAACAGCTAGATATTGTTGAGGATTTTCTTGCTGGCATTGGCTATCAATACAGGCGACTCGACGGGCAGCTTTCAAGTTTGGAAAAGCAGCGTCGCATCGATGCTTTTAACGAGCCAGGCTCTGCGATATTTGCATTTTTACTATCAACACGAGCGGGAGGTGTCGGTATCAACTTGGCCACAGCGGACACGGTTATTATCATGGATCCCGACTTCAATCCGCATCAAGATATTCAAGCTTTATCACGGGCCCACCGTATTGGTCAGAAGCAGAAGGTGCTTTGTTTTCAACTTATGACCAAGGACACAGTTGAGGAGCGAATCATGCAGATTGGCAAGAAGAAGATGGCTCTCGATCACGCTTTGATTGAAAGCATGGACGATGATGAAATTGCTGGGGATGACTTGGAGTCCATCCTAGCCCACGGCGCACAGGCACTATTCAGCGATGATTATCAAAAAGGTGCTATACATTACGATGGACCTGCTATTGACAGACTTCTAGACCGATCTCAAACCGAGCAGACAAAGGTTGACGATGAAGGCTCTGCGGAGGCTCAATTCACTTATGCCAAGGTTTGGTCGAATGATAAAGCAAACTTAGAAGATGAATTAGAAGCAGCTGCCGAGGCTGAAGCCCCCGAACCAATTTCCTCCAGTGTCTGGGACAAGATTCTTGCAGAAAGAGAAGAGGAGGCTCGCCGCCACGCCGAAGCAAATCAAGAGAGGCTGGGAAGAGGAGAAAGACGCCGAACAGTATGTATTTTTTGAAAGTTCAT